GGGCATAGCATTCATGTCCACAAGATGAGTTTCACGATGTCCGTTACGATTATTTTTAACAGAAGTCGCGATATCGCGGAAACTAGTTGCCGATTCTTGCCGAGCCACGTGTACAGTCTCAATCTGGAGGTGGATGTGCCTTGCTATTGGTCAAAGCTTCCAATCGGAATATACTAATTCCTGGGCATCTTACAAACGATTTCGTTGGTGAAACGTTGGTATAAGCATCGACGGAAATACCGCTACATGTACACGGCACAGCAAATTCTACTCCATCTGCGAAATTCGTTTCAAAGTTGCCAAATTCAACCAGTACAAAAGGAAATCCTTGCAAGGCTGGCAGGAGTTGCTGCTGAAATGCACTCCCTAGGTGTAAAAATATTCGAGAGAATTTCTCCAGACCCAGAAACGGTGATTTGCCGTTGCACACGTAGCCTTGAATTGCTACCGTGGTCGGACAACTCGATGATAATTGCTCGAGTGGTCTTGCCAGAGGTTTCCTCTGGCATTTTTTTTATCCGGCACATTACCCAAAACCGGTTTTTAGCCCTGAAATTCTTACGTCGAACTTGTCTCTTCCTGCGAAAGTGTGACGCACCCGGAAAGACGTGCACGAGGGCGACGCCGTCACTGTTCGGATACGCGACAGAATCGGCACGGTAATCTAGGCAAACAGTTGCGCTCAATTTCGGTCCATATCGTAACCAATCCACGCATAGTTATATGATTCCCCGATCATATACTCAGTTGCACAGATGTCAGTACGCGCGACCAATTACAGAGTGCGCTTGATTGGACGAATTTATGCGTGGGGCCTTTTCTGACCTTGCGCGTCCAATCAGACGCGGTCATGTAAAATTGCGCTCATATAAAACCGCATATTTACCTATATGAGCGCGCATATGTGATGCTCGAATGTGTGTGTGATCTGTTTTATTTATATAAAAACTATGTTAATAAATTAGGGAAACGTTATCACTACCAGCGTTTTGCCATTATACTTATATCAAACTGTGCATACCTATATCGCACAGCGTGATATAGGTATAATCGCAAAATGTCGGCAGTGATAATGTCTCTCAAATTTATTAATATAGTTTTAGATTAATAAAATAGATCATACACACATTCAAGCATCACATATGCGCGCTCATATAGGTAAATATGCGGTTTTATATGAGCGTGATCTTACATGACCGCGTCTGATTGGACGTGCAAGGTCAGAAAGGCCTCGCGCATAAAGTCGACCAATCAGGCGCACTCTGTAATTGGTCGCGCGTACTGACATCCGTCCAACTGAATATATGATCGTAGAATCATATAACTATGCGCGGATTGGTTACGATATGGACTGAAATTGAGCGCAACTGTTTGCCTAGATGAGTGTGCTGATTTTTGTTGCGTATCCGAATAGTGACGTTGTCGCCCTCGTGCACGTCTTTCCGGGTACGCCACACTTTCGCGGGAAGAGACACGTTCGACGTAAGAATTTAGGGGCTAAAAACCGGTTTTGGGTAATGTGCCGGATTAAAAAAATGCCAGAGGAAACCTCTGGCAAGACCACTCGAGCAATTATCATCGAGTTGTCCGACCACGGTAGCAATTCGAGGCCACGTGTGCAACGGCAAATCACCGTTTCGGGGTCTGAAGAAATTCTCTCAAAATATTCCCTCCAGGTCTCCTGGAGATTCCTTTTCGACGTGTACCAGTCAATCCAAGCCCTCCTTCCCAACCTGTCGCCGTTCTTCCTCGTAACTACTAGCCCCAGACACCCCACTTCGTCAGCAAGCCACGCTCCACGCAACCGCAGCGCATTTGCGAAATCCAATGGAATGGTGGAGATTCCGCTGGTGAACGGGTGCTCCATCAGAGATTCCCTCCAACGCGGTCCGGACGGAGAAATGATTCCGCGTCCCCATCCTTCGTCTCTCCACTGCCATTCGCTCCTTACTGTGCACCTCCCGCTCCTCACTCGACTCCCCCTCTGCTCACTTCAATTTTCCAACCAGCTCCCGTTTTTCCACGGTTGTTCTGCCATACTGCCTGGCACACCACCTGCCACATTCTTGGCATAAATTTCGCGCCACCAGTTTCCAACTTCGCAAGTGTTTGTTCCAATCCCGTCCTCGTGCACTCGTGCCCTTTCCCCCGATTTCCGCGCTTGTTGGCAGATTCAAAAGCCACGAACTTATCCAAGCAGGTCTCCAACTCTTCGCGCCACTTTAGTCCTTTACTTCAAGGCCAACGAGGCGTTTCTCGTAAGTGTTTAAAAAGTCAGTACCGTTGTCCTCTCGCGTGGACTAGCAGCTTCACGAAGAATTCACTGCTAACCAACATGGCTTCTACGTGTACCGTTGGGTGCGTAACGAACATGGCTTCTCAACTACTCTCACCGCAAGCGGCTTTTCAGCTGCCGTCGAGCTCGCTACACTCAACTCCGCCCGCCCACTCACTCAACCGTTTCGCCTTGCCGTTCGCACCGCTTGGCCAATCACCGTGCTCTCGTTCCCGGCGGCGCCAACGAGCTGCGCCTTCCGCGGTGCACCACTCGCACAACCGCGCGTCGCGTATCGATGAGGGCGCTCAGAAGTGGGGCGGAGTTCTGCGCCTTGGCGACGGGAAGAGCGGCGGCGGCGGGGAGTACTCCGCGTGGTCCCCTGTGAAGGTCCCTCCTCGCGTAGCCGCGCCGCCTCCGCGCGCACAACCGACTAAGGCGCAAAGGCAACGCTCCGCCAAGGCGCGTGCGAGCAGCAGAAGCGCGGCTGTGTTGCGCAGAGAGCCCACCGCAATCGCCGTCGCCGTGCCGGTACCGAATGGGTTGTCCGTCGGGCTTGGCGACTCAGTCCGCGAGCCAACCGGGGCTCCGCGTTCCGCGGCAATTGGCGCAAAGAGCATGGCGGAAGCCTTGGAGATTTCCCCCGTGACAGCCGCCGCGATGGTCGCCGCGATCGGCGCATGCGCCGTCGCCGCGCCGTTCGGCCTCGGGTTTCTCTCCGCCGACGCGCCGCTGCAGACAAACGTGTTAGCGTACATCACGGCGATGATCGGGCTCTACATGGCGTGGAACATCGGCGCGAATGACGTGTCGAACGCGATGGGCACGTCCGTCGGGTCGGGCGCGCTGTCGATGCGGACCGCGGTGCTCGTGGCGGGGGTGCTGGAATTTGGTGGCGCGATGCTGGTCGGGGGGCATGTGAGCGACACGATGCAGACGGGGATTATCGACCCAGGGCTATTCGTGAACGATCAACCGCTGCTGTTTACTGGAATGGTCTCGTCGCTCGCCGCCGCCGGCACGTGGCTACAGGTACGGTGCACTTCTTGAACACTTCTCGTCCCCTTTTGCCCCCATCTCTCCTTCCCATCCCACTTAAGAATCAAATCATACGTCGGAAATTGAAAGAAAAAATCCCACAACTTGCCCTGAATAAAGTTTAATAGACAATAAGTTACCTCGATTGCGAAACGCACACTAACCTACCTCCTCTCCCTCCCACATGTCTTCCGCTAGTCTGATTTATCCTAATTCTCGGCTTCCACTCGTGCCCCCTTCTCTCCTTCCTCGCATTGCGTTATTCCAGATCGCGACGCACTTCGGCTGGCCCGTGTCGACCACGCATTGCATCGTCGGCGCGATGGTGGGGTTCGGTTTCATCTACGGCGGCGCGGACGCGGTTTGTTGGGACTCGCTGTCCCATGTGGCCTCCTCCTGGGTGCTCTCGCCTGTGCTCGGAGCTACTGTAGCGTACAGTATCTACACCGCAATTCAGAAATTCGTCTATGAAGCTGATTCGCCCGCCCACGCCGCTTCCAGCGCCGCTCCGTATCTCGTTGGTTTGGGCGTGTTCGCGTTTTCGTTATCCTCGTTATACACTGGAGACGCCGCGTTCGCACCAGCCGCGTTGGAGTCCCTTGCAGCGGGTACAGTGGCCGCGGGTGTAGCATCCCTATTTATGGCGAAACAGGTTGGGAGCCAATTAAAGGAGCTAAGCAAGTCGATTAGCTTGCTAGACGGAAGACAAATGTCTCGGACAGCAGCAGCAGCAGCAACAGCAGGAGGGGCAGGCAAGACGGAACCAAGGGGGGAGCAACAACAAACAGTGTATTCTATTTTCGGGTATCTCCAGGTTCTATCCGCGTGTTTCATGTCGTTCGCTCATGGCTCGAACGACGTCGCGAACGCGATCGGCCCCATCGCTGCTGCGCTCAACATTCTCTCCGCTTCCGCCATTGTCGCTGCCTCCCCTGATGCTGCGGATGCCGCTGTTGCCGCGGCCGCTGCGGCGCCAACCACGCATATTCTCATGTGGGGTGGTTTCGGCATCGTCGCAGGGCTACTCGTGTGTGGTTACCAGGTGATTTCGACAATCGGTGGGAAAATCACCGAAATTACCCCAACTCGTGGGTTCGCAGCTGAATTCGCAGCAGCGTCGGTAGTGGTGCTGGCGTCGCGATTGGGGTTACCAGTTTCCGCGACGCACACGCTGGTGGGAGCGGTGATGGGGGTGGGTCTGGCGCAAGGGGGAAGCGGGGGAGTGCGCGGGGAAGTTTTGGCGGAGATTGCTGCTTCATGGGCGATCACCATTCCCGCGGGCGCAGCTCTCGCTGTGATGTACTCCGCTGTGCTGTCGCAGATTGTGCCAGCTTTCTTCTGAAAGTGTCAAAAGGTTTCTTCTGACCATCAATTTCACGCGATCTCCGAAGGCAGTCAGTTTGTGAATACTCCCTTCTTGGGGTAGTCTTAGGGTTCATCCTTAGACCCATGGAATCTTTCTATGCCTGTGGGAGATATGGTAGGTGGGGCTGTGCTGGTGGGAAGGTTATTGATCGATGGCCTCTCCCCTCTTAGGTCTTACGATTTTGCAGCTTCCAAGTGTGTGTTGCTGACCCTACATGTATTGATTTGATAATAAACACTTAGTAATGTGCACTCTTGGTGAAAGTTAGGCAAGCATTCTGAGCACTCTTGATAAGATAGAGCAAAACATAATCTTTTGATCCTATGCACTGTGCTGTTTGCGTTGTAGCAATTGCGATACAATGATTGGTGGAAGCAGCCACGTGGCAATGAGGGGCAGAAGCAGACCAATCAAGAAGCCCGACAACATGCCGTAGGTGCTGCTGATAGGCCATGCCTGATGGATGGGCAGAGAGAGGGGAGGAGGACAAGAGGAGGAAACGGGAGGACAAGAGGAGGTAAGTCTGGCACAGCAGTGGATGGAAGAATATCCTCTCCAGCTAAAAACTGCTTCAGTAGTACTTGCCCAATCCACCTGCTATGGTTGCTCCTGGCTTAGAGGCATGGGCCACGCGCCCATGCACCCATCATGCTCCCATCATGCACCCATGCACCCATCATGCACCCATGCACCCATCATGCTCCCATCATGTACCCATGCACCCATGCAACCGTGCAACCTTGCACTCATACAACATCCACCCGTGCACCCATCAACCCATGCACCCGTGCACCCATGCACACAGGCAACCATGCAACATGCACCCGTACAACCATCATGCACCCATGCACCCACGCAAACATGCACCCACGCAAACATGCACCCACGCAAACATGCACCCACGCACCTGCCCCTTCCCCCACAAACCAACCTGCCATGGCGTTTCCCAGTCCAGGGGCATGGGCCACGCCCCCAGCTCCCCCTGTACCCTGACCCACATAGCCTCCCCCTGTACCCTGACCCACATAGCCTCCCCCTGTACCCTGACCCACATAGCCTCCCCCTGTACCCTGACCCACATAGCTTCCCACTTACCCCACACGCCCACCTGCCACGGCTTCTCCCAGTCCAGGGGCATGGGCCATGCCCTTACCCATGCCCACACCGTTTGTACCCATGCAACAGTGCAACCATGCACCCATAATGCATCCAATCTCCTTACCCCACAGACCCACCTGCCACGGCTTTTCCCAGTCCAGAAGTATGGGCCATGCCCCCATCATGCACCCATGCCCCTTTTCCTGTACCCTGACCCAACCTATTCCCCATTTCCCCCCATAACCCACCTGCCACGGCTTTTCCCAGTCCAGGGGCATGGGCCATGCCCCCACCCATGCCCCCACCACCGCCCCATGGGCTGACGTCACCACACACGCCTCTGGCAGTGACGCTGGGCTGAATGGGAGAGATGGGGTGGGGAGCGTGGAGGAGGGGAGGGGGGAGGGGAGGGGAGATGGGACGAGGAGACAGGCTGAGCGAAGGGGGATAGGTGAGCAGCAGAGGTATGGAATGCAGAATAGTTGGGACGACAGAATTACCAAAAAAAAAGAAGAAAAAAAGAGCAGGATAAGCAAAGAAGGGAGACGCTAAGGGAGGAAAAGAGTGGGCAGTCAGTGGGCATGAGGAATGGAATACACTGAGGCAATAGCTGCCAGCAGGTACTACTTTATTTTAAGCTGCCCCAAAAGTATGTAACCGCAGAAGAGTGCAAAGGTTTCGAGCCATGGCTGTGAGCCATCATGCACCCATCATGCACCCATCATGCACCCATACACCCATCATGCACCCATCATACACCCATCATGCACCCATCATGCACCCATCATGCACCCATGCACCGCTGTCATCTCAGCTTGGTTTGAGGCCATGGCTGGCTGTCACCTGAATTGCAGCAGCACGGATCGCCAGAGGCGTGAGTGGGCCAATCGAACCCCATTTAGAGGTCATGGTTCAATACGTAGGAGCACGCTTGTGTACCTGAATTGCAGCAGCACGGATCGCCAGAGGTGTGAGTGGGAGCCAAAGAGGAGCGCGGAGGGCAGCACCTGAAGGGGAGGGGATAATGGGGACGATGGCAATATGGAGGGGCGATGCCGGGGGACGGGTGAAGGATGATGATTGTTAAGGTTCGAGAGTAACAGAAGGCATGGTTGGTCAGAGGCGTGAGTGGGAGCCAAAGAGGAGCGCGGACGGCAGCAGCTGAAGGGGAGGGGATAATGGGGAGGACACGGAGAGGGGGATGTGGAAGGGCGGATGGGGGATGATGAATGCTGGCTCGAAAATAACGGATTGCGCACATGTTTTTTTAGAATTCTCTGAATTTTATTTCAGATGTACTTGAGAGGCACAGAGGAGAAACGAGGGCAGAACATGAAGGGGATGAACGAATGAGGGTGGAAGGGAAGTAGAGGAATGATGAATGATGGGGAATGCGGGATGGAAAATCAGAAAAACAGGTGCGCAAATGATCAAACATGGAAGTTGAAGGCAAAGAGGAGTGGGGAAGGAAGCACCCGAGGAGGGAAAATGGAGAAGGTCAGAAAGGGGGAGGGGGGGGTGGAGTGGAGAAGGAGGGAAGAGGTGCTGATGTGGCAGGTGATTAACGTGACATGGCAGGTGAGTAACGTGACATGGTAGGTGAGTAACGTGACATGGCAGGTGAGTAACGTGACACAGGTGAGTAACATGACATGACAGGTGAATGGTGGGAGAGCAATGTGACATGGCAGGAGAGAAATGTGACGTGCGGGAGAGAAATGTGACGTGGCAGGAGAGAAATGCGACGTGGCTGGCTGCAGCACTTACTGTGAGCAGAGAGAGAAGGAAGGACCAGTGGAGTGTGACAGGAACGGACCTGGCAGATGGGAAAGGTAGAGAGAATAATGGAGTACAGAGGGGTGTAATGTGGTGAAGTGGGGTACGCTGACTCACATGGCATGGTTGACTCACATGGCATGCTTGACTCACATGGCATGCTTGACGACGGCTACTAACCGTTAGAACGTACTACAAAAAAAGACGTCTCAAAGCTCGTAATGACTCACTGGAAGGTGGTGGGAGCACCAAAGGCAGTGGCTGCGAGTGCTGCAGCGAAAGCACCTGGTGTGGCGGGTAGAAGTGAGAAGAGAGTACAAGGGAGGAGGGTGGAAGAGTAAGGGAGGGATGGATTTGAGAAGGTGAACGCACGTGTATTGATGCGAGGATTAAGAGGGGAATGGGAAAGACAAGGAGTGGTAGAAGGATGGAGTAGGGATAAGGGAAGGTAAAAAGGTTATGTACCAAGGCATGTCAGCGCGATGGCGGTGGCGATGTGAACAAGGCGGCGCATGAGTTGACCTCGAGGCTGTATGAGAGGAGAAGGCGCAAGCAGCCAAATCATCATACCGCATGAGCTCGTTTCAGAGATGTCATATCACGCCATGGCATGGCACATCATTGCACAGACATACACCGGACGAAATATAGCTGAATGTACATTGAGAGTCAGGACAATTAGGAGAGAAGAACGAAATAGAGCTACCATATTCAGCTTCTGACATGGCGACCCGCTGACATGGTGACATGCTGACATGGCGACAAACGGGCAGAAAAGCACCTGTATGCCTCTGCGTGGTGACTGCGAATGTTGGACAGATAGGGAGGGGCTGAAGGGAGGGAAAGAGAAGAGCATCAGTGCTGCTGGTAAAAATAGAGCCTGTGGCGAGGGGATGGTTGGGAGGGGAGGAGGGGAGAAGGGGAGAGAGGAGAGAGGATGGAGGGAATATGGGAGGGAGGGAGGGATACGCTTGTGAAGAGACGATGGGAAGGGAAAAGGTGGTGAGGTGCAGATCAACTCGAGCGACATGAATTACAGGAGATAAACCTTTGTCTTAATTCATTTCAGGCGCGGGAAATGAATTTTGAAGATATGAAAGTGGAATGCAGAAAAGACACGTGAACGTACACAACTGGACTTGATGCACGTCAGCGGCTCACTCGTCAAATCCACTCCCCAGAGCTGACTTGGCAGCACCCACGCTCCAGTTACTATGCTTAGTAGGAGCGCTGACGTGGACAGGACGAGCGACGCTGACGGTGAATAAGGGGATGCGGACTCATCCCGTAGCTTCTTAGCAGTGCCCCTTCGAGCCATCGCCACCGTATCAACGCGGCTCGGAGCGAGTGTCCCAAGGAGATTTCAGAGTTTTCTCCTGCTGGGAACTACTAGTCTGCTTTTGGCGGGAATTTCTGGGTGTGCTGGGCTCATCATGAAATTCTCAAAATCCGCGGTACTTGAATGGGAAGAGGGGTTAGTCGAGGTAGTGTTCGTGTGGGGCTCAACCGCGGCTGATTGGGCTTTTCATAGGCACCTCGAAGAAAGGTTCGTGCCACATAGGGAACTCCAGCAAGTGAAACTCTCATTGATGACCCGAAGCTCAGCTTTCAAGCGAACACCCCCTAGATCCCAGCCCAACCCTAAAATTCTGATGCACTTCGGTCATCCTGATTGATGCGTCACCCTCACGCTCTCCAGCCTATTGGACACGCCGGACTCCCATTGCCGTTGTCTTGTCACCATCGCCTACCATACCAGCCGCGCTGCGACTCACGCGTGGTGTTATGAGTCGAATTCCGACCGTCGTCAGCGTGACTAATAGCTAGCGTGCTGAATAATGGATAAGCTGGTTCTGGATTCGAGTAAACGTATCTGATTAGCCCGTCGTTGCATGAAGCCGTTGCCCGTTCGAGAGAATCATGAAGCCACCACCGCGAGCAACGAGGAGATCGAGAGCGAAAGCGGAAGAGGAGGAGGGTGCGACGCGTGCCCGTCGTGGATCGGCAATCATCAAGCGAGGAGATTCGAAGGAGGTCGAGGAAGCTAAGTTACGGGCAGGAAGCGATTCGGCCGCAACAGAGTTGAAACGTAGCGACTCCGACTCCGCGAATTCCGAGGGGTCTGACAAGGACGTCATCGATAGGGACGCTCACGGGGACGCTGACGTGGACGTCAATACGGATGCTGACGGGAACTCTGACAGAGACAATGACGTGGGCGCCTATACGGACGCTGACGGGGATGCGGCTGCGCGAGGCGGTGCGGGAGGCATGACGGCGTACGAGCAGCTAAGAGCGGATCGCATGGCGAGAAACGCGGCGCTCCTCGCGGCGCTCGACGTGAGCGCTGCAGCGAGGCGCCTCAAGTCGTCGACCGCGCAGCCGCAACGACGACTTTCGCCCTCTCAAGGTTGTAATACCTGCGAAGGTCATGTCAGAAGTGAGAAGATGATTGTTCTGAGATGTCGATTTTTGAGGCGCCTCAAGAATCGTCTCAAGGTTGTACGATCTGCGTGAATTGAGAAGATGATTGTTCTGAGATGTCGATTTTTGAGGCGCCTCAAGAATCGTCTCAAGGTTGTACCATCTGCGTGAATTGAGAAGATGATTGTTCTGAGATGTCGCGGAACAAGCTTAGTTTCTCAAGGTCATTCCGTGTTCAGACAAGGGGCGTTGGTGGTGGTGGTGGCAGGGACAAGGGGGTGGCAGGGACAAGGGGGTGGCAGGGACAAGGGGGTGGCAGGGACAAGGGGGTGGCGGTGACAAGGGGGTGGCAGGGACAAGGGGGTGGCAGGGACAAGGGGGTGGCGGTGACAAGGGGGTGGCAGGAACAAGGGGGTGGCGGTGACAAGGTCAGGGGCGTGGTTCATACTTGGTTCCTGTTCCGTGCCTGCTCACCAGCTCATCATGCTCTCTCTTTTACAAGCACTCGGCGGTCGTTCCGTGTTCAAACAAGGGCAGCAACAGGAGGAGGCCGTGGTGGTGGTGGTGGTGGTGGTGACGGCGGCGGCGGCGGCGGCGGCTGCGGCGGCGGCGGCGGCGGTGGTGGTGGTGGTGGCGGCGGAGGCGGCGGCGGTGGTGGTGGTGGTGGTGGTGGTGGTGGTAGGGGCAAGGGCAGCGGGGTGGCTCATACCTTCTTTGTTTGTGTCCCATGCCTGCTCATCATTCTCTCACATTCAGGCACTCGGCGGTCGTTCCGTGTTCAGACAAGGACAGCGGGAGGAGGCGGCCGTGGTGGCGGGGGTGGCAAGGGCAAGGGGGGAGATGAGATGGGGGAAGAGGAGGAGGAGGAGGAGGAGGAGGACGGGGATGAGGGAGAGGAGGAGGAGGAATTGGGGAAAGACGGCGAGTATATCCCGGATGCGATTGCAGATGATGATGAGGAGGAGGAGGAGGAGGATGAAAGGGGTGAGGGAGAGGAGGAGGGGGAGGAGGATGGGGAAGATGAGGAGATGGAGGGTGGGAAGGGTGGCGGCGATGGTGGCAGCAGTGGGAGGAGGAGAGGACGGCATTCGGGGAAACGCGGTGCAGAAAAGCAGCAGCAGGGGGGGAGCAAGCGGGGGAGGGGGATGGAGGAGTTGGGAGCGGTTGGAGCTGGTGACGAGGACGAGGAGCTACAGATGGTGAGCGGGCTCCTGAGATGGTTGCGTCGTCAAGAGGCGTTTTCCTTGTGAGGCAATTATTCCCAGAAATTTGAGTCAACTCAAAATATATTCAAGATTACTGCCTGATAGCGGATGACTACAGATGGTGTTTTGCAGGCTTTTTTAGGCGCATGAAGACTTGGCTGCTGCAGTTGGTGTTGTGTACCTTGTTTCGTCAGGTTGCATTGCATGCATGCATGCATGCATGCTGGGTGATGCTGCTGCACTGTAACTTTTGAGTCGACTCAAAAGTCACCTTGGTTGTATGCATGCTGGATGATGCTGCTGCACTGTAAGGTCAAACACCTATTGGGTTTCACACTGGCTTGCGTGCATGCATGCTGCATGCTGCATCATGCATGATGCTCCAATCTGTGAATCTGCCATGCCAAACGCTGAAGTATCCAGACACTTCAGCTCCGGGCGTGTTTCCAAAGTATCCATGTTATGCCATGAAAGTTGGGTGCCACTTTTGTGGGCGGTGCCACTTCTGTGGGCGGTGCCATGCCAGACCCAACACACGCACGCAGTTCACTGCCCCCAATTTTGAGATGCCTCAAGATCTCACTCATTTCACGTGCCCAACACACGCACACTGTTCACTGCCCCCAATTCTGAGATGCCTCAAGATCTCACTCATTTCACGTGCCCAACACAGGCACACAGTTCACTGCCCCCAATTTGTGCTTCTCTCTGTCCCTGCTACTGCCTCTGTCCCTCTCCACCACCCCTCTCCACCTCTCTCTGCCTCTCGCTGCCCCTCTCTGCACCTCGCTCTGCCTCTCTGCCTATTTCTACCTACCTCTGTCTACCTCTGTCCACCTCTCTCCACCCATCTCCTCTTTTCTCCACCTCTCTCTGCCTCAGGCTATCGCCCTGTCTCTCTCTTTGACTGGAGGGGATGGAAGAGGAGGAGGAGAGAAGGGTGGAGGAGGAGAGGGAGGAAGGAGGGGTGGAGGCGGAGGAGGAGAGAAGGGAGGAGGAGAGGGAGGAGGGAGGGGTGGAGGCGGAGGAGGAGAGAAGGGAGGAGGAGAGGGAGGAGGGAGGGGTGGAGGCGATGAGAGTGATGCGGGCAGAGGCAGAGACAGGAGAGGGAAGATCAAGGTGCGTTGAGTGTTGAGAGAATGGGGTGGGGGTGTTGAGAGTGTGGGAGTGTTGAGAGAATGGGGGTGTTGAGAGTGTGGGAGTGTTGAGAGAATGGGGGTGTTGAGAGTGTGGGAGTGTTGAGAGAATGGGGGTGTTGAGAGAATGGGGGTGTTGAGAGAATGGGGGTGTTGAGAGAATGGGGGTGTTGAGAGTGTGGGAGTGTTGAGAGAATGGGGGTGTTGAGAGAATGGGGGGTGGTTGAGAGAATGGGGGTGTGAGAGAATGGGGGTGTTGAGAGAATGGGGGTGTTGAGAGAATGGGGGTGTTGAGAGAATGGGGGTGTTGAGAGAATGGGGGTGTTGAGAGTGTGGGGTGTTGAGAGAATGGGGGTGTTGAGAGAATGGGGGTGTTGAGAGAATGGGGGTGTTGAGAGTGTGGGAATGTTGAGAGAATGGGGGTGTTGAGAGAATGGGGGTGTTGAGAGTGTGGGAGTGTTGAGAGAACGGGGGTGTTGAGAGAATGGGAGTGTTGAGAGTGTGGGAGTGTTGAGAAAATGGGGGTGTTGAGAGAATGGGGGTGTTGAGAGAATGGGGGTGTTGAGAGTGTGGGAGTGTTGAGAAGGTGGGAGTCCCAAGCTGAGAAGCCTTTCAAAAGCCTTGTGAGACGTAGAGATGGTATGTCACCTTCTCCTTCTGTTTGGCAGGCAAAGCGGCATCAAAGCCTTTTGAGGAAGCTTACTGACTGTGAAGCCAACTCCTTCATTCACTCACTCACTCACTTACCCACTCCCTCACTCGCTCAGTCACTCACCCACTCAGTTCCTCACTCACTCAGTCACTCACCCACTCAGTTCCTCACTCACTCAGTCACTCACTCACTCACGCACTCCCTCACTCCCTCACTCACTCACTCACTCCCTCACTCACTCCCTCACTCACCCTCACTCCCCCGCTCCCTCCCTCACTCCCTCTCTCACTCCTTCCTTGCAGACAAACCGGCGTAGGAGCCCGTTAAGGAAGCTCACTGATTCTGATACCGACTCGCTCACTCACGCAGTCACTTCCTCTCACTCCCTCTCACTCCCTCTCTCACCTCCGTTTTCACTCCTTACTGGCAGGCAAAGCGGCGTAGGAGCCCGTTGAGGAAGCTTACTGACTCGGAAGCTGACTCGCTCTACTTCACTCTCGATTGTATGTGTGTGCTTCCTGCAATTTCAGAACACATGAGCATATTCCTGCAATTTCAGAACACATGAGCATATTCCTGCAATTTCAGAACACATGAGCATATGAGCACTTCCTGTTATTTCAATCTAGATGGTGTGTGTGAGCGAGAGATCTTCCTGTTATTTGAGAACGCACGTGCACGCACTGTGTGTGCGCACACACAGCCGACTCGCTCCACTTCAATCGCAATGGTTTGTGTGTGTGTGAGCTGCTGTTATTTCAGAACACGTGTGACGTGACGCATGCACGAGCAATGGGCATATACGCGGTCACGTCACACCTTTCGCTCTACTTCACTCTCGATGGTGTGTGTGTGCGGGAGAGAAAGCCGTCTTCTTTCATGACTTGACTCACACCACATGTATGCACACACGCACGCACACACACACACACACACACACACACACACACACACACACACGCACACACGCACGCAGGTGTGTTTTGAGTCGACTCAAATCACATCTTTCATGGCTTGACTCACACCACATGTATGCACACGCACGCACACGCACAGACACGCACAGACACGCACGTATTTATGTGCCGTGCACGAAAGCACTCGCACGTGTGCTTCACGTGTGCACTCGCACACACACAACTCACAGACTCCGAGGCCGGCTTGCTCTGCTGCTCTCTCGATGGTGTGTGTGACACTGAGAGAGAGCTCTCCTAGCACATGAATACGCACAAGGCACACAGGCATGCATACGCTTGTGCGCGCCCACACAGCAACACACAATGAAACACGCTTATGCGCACACACACATGAAGCGGACGGACACGCCCATTCCACTGTCCACAGGCATTCCAGCAGCTCACATCGCCAGGCTGGCAGCACTGCACTCTTCGATCCGATCCTGGCAATTACGGTTTTTTAGGCGCCTCAAAAATCACAGAGAGACATGTTTGTGCGCACGCACACATCAAGGGGACACGCCCATTCTACTGCTGGTAACAGCTGCTGATATCGCCAGGCTGGCAGCACTGCACTCCATAATCCGATCCGATCCGATCCGATCCGATCCTGGCAAATTCATTTCCACTCTCATCTGTGTCTGCCTGTCCCTCGTCCTTCTTCAACCCACCTCTCTCCCCCATTCAACCGCCCCCAACCATTCTATAATCAATCCAGCCAATGGCGAGGGGCGCATAACAGTAGCTGACATTGCCAGGCTGGCAGCAGTGCACTCTTTGATCCAGGCAAAGTCATTTCCACTTTCACCGTTCCCACCTCTCAACTCCTCTCAACAACTCTCGACCCCCCTGAACCCCTTGGCCCAACACTCATCCTACCCAGCCAGTAGTGAGGGCCGCATAACAGCAGCTGACATCGCAGGCTGGCAGCAATACACTCTTTTCTCGAGGCAAAGTCAATTCCACTTGCATTCCTCAACCGTCCTCAATCCCCTGGGCCCCCAATCCAGCCAACGGTGAGGGGCGCATAACAGCAGCTGACGTCGCCAGGCTGGCAGCAGTGCACTCTTTCCTGTGGAGCGAGCAGCAGATGGAGGACATGGTCTCACTCTTCAGCCAATCACAGGTGACTTTTGACGGCCTTTGAATCGAGTCAACTGGCATCTTGTGGAGCGAGCAGCAGATGGAGGACATGATCACGCTCTTCAGCCAATCACAGGTGGGCTTTGACCTCTGGATCGAGTCAAGAGTCGTTTTGTGACGCGAGCAGCAGACTGAGGACATGGTCTCACTCTTCAGCCAATCACAGGTGACTTTTGACGGCCTTTGAATCGAGTCAACTGGCATCTTGTGGAGCGAGCAGCAGATGGAGGACATGATCACGCTCTTCTGCCAATCACAGGTGGGCTTTGACCTCTGGATCGAGTCAAGAGTCGTTTTGTGACGCGAGCAGCAGACAGAGGACATGATTACGCTCTTCAGCCAATCACAGGTGACTTTTGACGGCCTTTGAATCGAGTCAACTGGCATCCTGTGGAGCGAGCAGCAGATGGAGGACATGATCACGCTCTTCAGCCAATCACAGGTGGGTTTTGACCTCTGGATCGAGTCAAGAGTCGTTTTGTGACGCGAGCAGTAGACAGAGGACATGATTACGCTCTTCAGCCAATCACAGGTGACTTTTGACGGCCTTTGAATCGAGTCAACTGGCATCCTGTGGAGCGAGCAGCAGATGGAGGACATGATCACGCTCTTCAGCCAATCACAGGTGGGTTTTGACCTCTGGATCGAGTCAAGAGTCGTTTTGTGACGCGAGCAGTAGACAGAGGACATGATTACGCTCTTCAGCCAATCACAGGTGACTTTTGACGGCCTTTGAATCGAGTCAACTGGCATCCTGTGGAGCGAGCAGCAGATGGAGGACATGATCACGCTCTTCAGCCAATCACAGGTGGGTTTTGACCTCTGGATCGAGTCAAGAGTCGTTTTGTGACGCGAGCAGCAGACAGAGGACATGGTCACGCTCTTCAGCCAATCGCATGTGCGCTTTGGATTCTGAGTTGATCACGTTCCAGGCACAAATTCAGGTCCCTGGAATTGAGAAAGCTTTTTTTGACGTACTGATTTTCATTTGTTGGTGTTATACATCAATACATCACACCTGTGTTTTGTTTGTTAACCTTTCTCGCATCGCATTCCTTTTGCTTCTGTTGTGGCAAGTGCCAGTTGTGGGTCTCACATCAAATACGTTACATGCTTTCTTCTACCGAGAAAGAACATGAAATAGCTCATACCCTATCAAACGTGCCGTCAATTCCTTGCAGGGCAACGGGATGGGAATGCTCGAATTTCGACACGTTTTATCACAATGTGGACGTCTTTAGATGAGAAGAATCGTCGACACCATTCTACCTCGCACTTCATATTGTAATCAATCTTAGAGCGTATTCCTACGCCTTGTATCAAGCAACCTCGTATCAGACTTGCCTGGTAAAACTAGCGAAAGGTTTTGGATTTAGGGGAATCCACAGTGTGAGCCTGATATGAGGTTCCTTGATAAGAGGTGTAGGAATATGCTCTTACATCATCCATGGTGCCCCAATGTTTAGGGCCGGGGTGTGCACATTAAAATGTTGCAACTGTTGAGTGTACTTGATAAAAACGTATGTGACACATTCTTGATATAGAGAAATTCTTGCTATGGACTGGATTTGATATGAACGTATTTGTGTTGATTTGAGAAGGTGGTCTTGGCATATAGGGCATTGAGATAAGTGTCATTAGCTTCATGTGATATATTTGGTGAACCAATATACACTAGAGCCAGAAACAATGGAGAGACAAACTTTTATCGATTCGAGTGGAATTCTCTGTAGCTGCATGCGTCCATCATTCACGGATTATTGTGGCGCCACAAGAATCCAACAGCAATGCATTGTGCCAGCTGGGCTCCAGTAACCAATCATATTCCATATCTGATTACGCTCCGATTTTTTTTTCCCCTGCATGAAAAAGTTGTTCGTGTCCCCTGGGCAAACTCTCCGTGTTTTTCCCACGGCAGATCATCATCAGCTTCAGAATCGTCCTCAGCATCAATCCTTCGGATTTGGGCAGCCGAACCGGAACTTGATGGAACAAGTCCCGTTGGTCCAAACTCCTAGATTCCCTGTGCGTTGGTGGTTGGGTGATGTTTTTCCGCCCGAGAGTTTTGGCTTTGGTTGGTTGGAGCCTCAATATCCTTGCCCTCGCGAATTGCCTCCCCCTGTCGAGACCCAAGGTCCAGGTTCGACTTTGGGTGCGGGTGTTCGCTCGCAATTTGGGTGGGTGCGACTTTACCGGAAAGAGAACCATAAAATTTTGTAATATCGAAAAATGCTGCAGCCCGCCCAATCCATACCCGAAAGCTGAAAGGCTGGTTGACATGGATCGTCAATCAGTGGTGCTTGGTCTCGTATCATTCTCCTGGCTCTGTTGCTCTTTGACCATCAAATCCCAGCTTGCAAGCCAGAGAGGTGGTACGGAAGCTCTACAACAGAAGTGGACAAGACATTCTGATCGAAACATCTCAACATCCCAAGGTACTGCAGGTATCAGAATGGTTTTATACTTTATGCCGTGATTTCATCTTTATCAATTAGGTCCATTTCAGCACCAGGAACTTATGCAGTGAGTGAGTGCACACAACACAACCATCCAAGCACAAGCTCCACCCCACCACCACCCTTCCCTGCACAAACCAGCAACGCTGCAAGTGTGCAGTGCTGCATTTCTTGTGCCTGTCATCAGATTCTCCGAACTCCCAAGCGGTGCTTCCACTTACTGATCTCCCAGGAATGGCGAGTTGTCGTGTCGCAGTGCCTTCCATATACATTAGGTGCTCCGACCTTAGACGCAAGATGCACTCCCTGCTTAGCCCTTCCAAACAGAGGATACCCTCACTTCATCCGTTGTTTTGATAAAAGAGCTCCTTCAGGAGTCTTGTAGTATAGTAGTCGAAGGGCTATTCCTCGCAATTGAGACAACGATCGGTATTTGAAGGCCATATCCTTCCCAATGGCATATTTTCGATTTCAAGGGTGCGTCTGTCTTTTTTTTTTTAATATAAGTACTTCCTTTCCTTTCTCTTCTTTTTCGATTTTCGATTTTCGATTTCTCTTCCTTCCTTCCTTCCTTCCTTCCTTCCTTCCTTCCTTCCTTCCTTCCTTCCTTCCTTCCTTCCTTCCTTCCTTCCTTCCTTCCTTCCTTCCTTCCTTCCTTCCTTCCTTCCTTCCTTCCTTCCTTCCTTCCTTCCTTCCTTCCTTCCTTCCTTCCGTCCTTCCTTCCTTCCTTCCTTCCGTCCTTCCTTTCCCTATATACGAGTACTGTGAGCTTGCATTTTTTTCTGCTTTGATGTGGGGATGGTTAGTGTACGAAAATGCAGGCTCACGTCTCCTCGCTTGCATTGTGGTGGCAGATCTGAACTTGACGGAAACGATCCACCATCCATGATGCATCTAGTAACGCTTGATGAAGCGGAAGTCAACCACGTGCCGATTCAGACGGATCCTGTCTCTACGCAGGCGGAATCGTCCGACATTCTCCCATCATCATCATCATCATCAGACCGAAGAGGGAATTATCATGATACTACAACAAATAGCTATACAACCGGCGGCGGAGTTTCTGCTCGTAACGGTGGTTCCCGTACCCTACTTCTGAGTTCGGGACAGCAGCGGCTCAGCTCTTTCCAAGGCTTGAACTTGCACGTGGACGAATCAGGGAACACAACAGCATCAGGTTCTGTTCCATATGATAAACCTGATGATAATAAGCATGACTACGATCATGATAATCATGGCCAGGATCATGATAATCATGATCAGCATGATAACTTTCATCTGGACGCTTCTGCAGCCGCCGGCGCCATGCCTGACAGAAGGACGCTGCAGCAACATCAATCTCACACTGCAGCCGCTGCCACGGCGGCATGGCGGCCTGCGTCTTTCACGCAGGTGCTGCGGTCCGTCTCCCCGGCGTATCAACTGAGGCAAATGCCAGCCAGCAGAATGGTCCACGGTGATCAACAAGAGCATGTCATGACTAATGATGATCCGGATGCGGGAAGTGCTAGCGGCACCACCAGTCATGTCAACCATGTGCATGATGGCAATGGTGATGACAATCAAGATGATGATAGTCATGAGGAGGAGGATGATCATGTCGAGGCTTTGACGCCAGGAATGGATTGGGATGTTGATGAGCGGCCGCAGCAGCAGCAGCAGCAGCAGCAGCAGCAGCAGCAGCAGCAGCCAATCAACGCTTCCATGCTGATGCTGCAGCACTACCAGAATCCAGGCTTACCCACTAGAAGGGAATATTTCTCCTCCAGCATCTTCCAACAACAGCAGCACCCCGTGTCTCTGCATAATTCACGCGCCTCTTCCTATCACCCCAGTCATCTCATTCCTCGCTCTCCAGGCCAGCTCTTCAGTCCAGCCGTCTACTCAGGTGCTGCAGCAGCACACATGGTCCCAACAGCAGCATCTATGGGCGCAGCATATGTGGGAGCAGCGTCTATGGGAGCAGCAGCTGTTCCTGTCGAGGCAACCCAAAATGTTTTCTCAAGCACACCTACGGCTGCACACACGGTCCCAGGAGCAGCAGCTGTTCCAGTTGAGGCGACCCAAGGTGTTTCCGCACGCGCAGTTGCAGCACACGGCGAGCTTCTGGGTGCACCACTCGCCGCATCGGAATGCCAGCGGCAGCCAGCAGCCTGTTACCTTGAGTCTGCTTCCCCTGAGATTGCACTTCCTGCCATGTTTCAGCCCGGAGGTGTACCCGCTTCATCTCCAGCAGCAGCAGCTGCTAATATGCGTCCCATCGCCGTAATGGGATCAGCTGCTCGTGGGGGTGGTGGCGCTGCCTCTGTTAGAGCCACAGCTATTTTTCACCTGCCCAATTTTCAGCTGCCCGGTTTCCAGGTGCCCGGGAGGCCTCTCCCTCCGCCACCTGTCATCACGCACACGTGGACGGGGCGAAGGACGCTGCCGCAGCCTGCTGCTTCAGTCTGCCTCCCTGCTGCCACAGCTGGAATTCCTGTGGGCTTTGTTCAGACTGATGCACCTGGCAGTGGTTCGTTTGAGGATGACTCGATATCTGCATCTTGTTCATTTTCGTACCCTGGTGGTGTAGGGCTCAATGGAAACACTATTGTGACTGTTGCTGCTGGTGGTGGTGGTGGTTCTGCTGGTGCTGGTGTGGCTTCAGGGAGTGGCGGCAGTGTGGGAGCGGTAGCAGCAGCAGCAACAACAACAATTGATGTTACTGCTGCTGCCACTGCTGCTGATACTGCTGCAGGTGTGATGGCTGCAGTTTATGGCAGTGCTGTTGCTGCTGCACCCCAGGCTGGTGCTGCCGCTGCAAGAGGGCGTGGTGCTATGGAGATGGATTGTCGGCAAGCTGACGATGCTGACAACTGTGACGATTCAGACTCTTCTGCATCTGCAAGGGCAAGTGGGCAGCGCAGCACAAGCCAGAGAGGTGCAGACACACAGTGATGGAGCAGCGTGGTGCCTTTTGAGCCGCCTAAAAAATTTTGAGGATTTTTTAGGTGTCTCAAAAGGCAGCGCAGCACAAGCCAGAGAGGTGCAGACACATAATGATGGAGCAGCGTGTTGCCTCGCTTCATTCAGGCAGCCCACCCGGTCACGTCACCACACCAACTGCAAGCTGCTGTTCGAGCGTCTTCCCAGCCGTTTCTGCTTATGCTCTGCTCTGCTCCATCCACGAAGCCAGAATATGTCAGACACGTAGTGATGGGGCACCTCGTGATGATAAATCTGTTGTGAGATGTCTCAAGACACAGTGCGATGGGCCACGTCGTTGCCTCACTGCACTCATGCAGCAGCTCAGCAAGTCACCACACCAGCTGTAATGGAGCCGTCTTCCATTCCTATCCAGAAACACCAGCTTGTCGCACCAGCCAGGTTAGAAGATTTATCATTAGCATTACCACTTCATGTCTGTATGTAGCCTCAAAGCCGCCTATAGAAGTAGAACAACAAATAGTGATTTACGGTGGTGTGGTGCCATCTGTGAATGACAGGTGCCACTAGTGTATTCTGTTCATTCAAGCATAAATTCACGGCTCACCCTCACTCACAAAAGTCTTTTGATAATGAGGGGCCATAGCAATGCTGTGAGCGACGTTAATCTTGCCTCTCTGAAGTGCATGCAAATGCTGCTGCCGTATGGCTACTGAGAAGTAGCCTTCCCTTCCCTTTCTGGGTACCCACCCACCCTTTTCGACAAGTTCTGACTGACTTCCCACGGCATGACTTGACAGAATTGGTTGGCACGCCCTAGATTTGTTCGAAGTTCTTAGGTTAGAGAACCCTATTCACCACCTTAGTTTGAAGATTTGCAGGGAGAGGACTTATGGCAACGCATGCAGGGGATATTTACAACGGAGGGGAATTTACACTAAAGCGCAAACATACACGGGAAACAAACTATGTAAGAAACCAAATGAAAGGAACAGCATAGGACGCCAAAAACTGCCCCTCAGGTTCTTCCTCAGGTGGTCCCATAGGTGTCCCTCAGGTGCCCTTAGGCACTCCTCCGACGAAAAACTCGCGGAGAGCATTGCCGTCCGTGGGCTGCTGAGCAAAAATGGCCAGGTTCCTGGCATCCAGGTTCATCTGCCCCTCAGGTGCCCCTCAGGTGCCTCGTCAGGTGCCTCGTCAGGTGCCCCCAGGCATACTCAGGTGCCTCCTCAGGTGTGCGCCTCAGATGTCAAACTCATGCAGCATGTTGCCGTCTGTGGACCGCCCGCCAAAGATGCTGAGTTTCCCGGCATCGAGGTTAAAGAGCGTGCTGTGTAGTGTATGGATGACCGGGCCTGGGGGATAACAGAGGCAGGCAAAGAGGGAAATGGAAACGGCATGTAGGAAAAAGAGCAAGGGGGAGAGGAGAGGTGATTGGCGCTTGCAGGGGCAATGGATGATAAATCCTGGTCACTTTCCTTGCAGGCTTGCAGTGCAGCCTTGCAGCCTTGAGAGATGAGGCACCTGAAAGTCACTTTCCTGACGTGCAGGATGAAGAGCGAGCTTTGCAACTATTGAGGCGCCTCAGAAAGTGTGCTGTGCAGGGCTGCATGCTTCACCTACCGACCTGGAACAGCTTGATTGTACGCTCTTGTACTCCCTCACACACCCTCACACACCCTCACACACCCTCACACACCCTCGCACACCCTCGCACACCCTCGCACACCCTCGCACACCCTCCCACACCCTCGCACACCCTCGCACACCCTCCCACACCCTCACACCGCATTGGTTAGGGCACCTTTGACCTCAAAGGACTTGCCCAAATTGAAGACAAGGGATATCCCTTGACTTAACACTACCCTACCCCAACACGCACCCCAACACGCACCCCAACACCCACACCCACACCCACACCCACCCTTCATACACCTCGCACCGCACTGGATTTCTCACCTCCGATCTCAAAGGGGTTTCCATCATTGAAAATGGGATACTCCTTGTCGTCCGAGTTGGACAGGATCTGGAGGGAGGGAGAGGTGAGGGGGCGGGAGAGGTGAGGGTGGGGAGAGAGCCGTGTGAAGGGAAGGAGGCATGGAATGGCATTGCCGCCACTGAATAGGGGATACTCCTTGTCGTCTGAGTTGGACAGGATCTGGTGGGAGAGAGAGGTGAAGGGGAGACAGAAGCGAGGAGAGAGAGAGAGAGAGAGAGAGAGAGAGAGAGAGAGAGAGAGAGAGAGAGAGAGAGAGAGAGAGAGAGAGAGAGAGAGAGATCACAAGGGAAGGAGAGGTGAGGCGGAAGAGAGGCGTGTGAGCGGGGGGGGGGGGGGGGGGGGGGGGGGGGGGGGGGGGGGAGGGACATGAGAAGGGATTACCCTCATTGAAAATGGGATATTCCTTGTCGTCCGAGTTGGATACGGAGGGGAGAGGCGCAGCAAGGGAAGGTGCGTGAAAGGCGAGAGATGGAAAGACATTGCCCTCATTGAAGAAGGGATACTCCTTGTCGTCTGAGTTGGATAGGATCTGGTGGAAGGGAGAGGCGAGGGGAGAGAGCAAGGGAGAGAGTGAGGGATGGGACGGGAGGGAGAGACGAGGGCATGGAAAGACGTTGCCGTCATTGATGATGGGATACTCCTCGTCGTCCGAGCTGGATAGGATCTTGCGGGAGACTCAAGGGGGGTGAGAGAGGGAGAGAAATGGGACACTCCTTGTTGTCCTTGTCGCTCCAACCTCAGAACCTCGATATTGTCACACACACGTGACAGCAGCATGTCCTGAGTGGTGGAGGGCACGCCCAGGCGTCTGGCAGCGGCCTCTCTGCGGTGTGCGTGCGCTGAAGCCCATATTCTCCCGCAGCTGCACTAACAGCAGTCGCTCTACCTCAGAACCACATTTGCCTGCAGCGCGTTATAGTCGCACTCACCTTTAGCATGTCCTGTGTGCTTCTGGGAGCGCCCAGGCGTCTGGCAGTGGCCTCTCAGCGGTGGGCGCTGGGACCCATCTTCTCCCTTTTGAGTCGACTCAAAAGCAGACTCTCTGCGGTGGGCGCTGGGACCCATCTGCTCCCTTTTGAGTCGACTCAAAAGCAGACTCTCTGCGGTGGGCGCTGGGATCCATCTGCTCCCTTTTGAGTCGACTCAAAAGCAGACTCTCTGCGGTGGGCGCTGGGACCCATCTGCTCCCTTTTGAGTCGACTCAAAAGCAGACTCTCTACGGTGGGCGCTGGGACCCATCTGCTCCCTTTTGAGTCGACTCAAAAGCAGACTCTCTGCGGTGGGCGCTGGGACCCATCTGCTCCCGCAGCTGCAACCTCGTGTATGCGTTCGCATGGAACAACATGCACCGGCAGCAGCACTAGCAGCAGTCACTCTACCTCAGAACCTCAGCATTGACTATCACACACGTCACACACGTCACACTCCCAAGCCCGGACTTGCCCCATTCACCTTTAGCATGTCCTGTGTGCTTCTGGGAGGGCCCAGGCGCCTCGCAGTGGCCTCTCTACAATGAGATCTGGTGCTCATATTCTCCCGCAGCTGCACCAACAGCAGTCGCTCTACCTCAGAACCACATTTGCCTGCAGCGCGTAAAAAGTCCCACTCCCACTCACTTTAAGCATGTCCTGGGTGGTTGTGGGAGCGCCCAGGCGCCGGGCAGTGGCCTCTCTGCGGTGAGCACTCGGGCCCATCTTTTCCCGCAGCTGTAGCCTCGTGTACGCGTTCGCATGGAAGATATATTCCGTGCCTTCACAAGCAGCAGCAGCATCACCGCTAGCAGAAACAGCACCGTTAGCAGAAGCAGCAGCGGCAGCACCGTTAGAAACAGCCTGGCTTCCCAGCTTAGGGTTTGGGCCCAGCTCCAGGATGCTATGCCGGCCGTTGGATGCGGTTTCAACGGACGCGATTCGCCGGTGGGCAAAGTCCATCAGCACGTAGTGATGCCCCACTGCCACCGCTGGGCCAGTCACGCGCTGCCACGTGGCATGAGTTGATTGGGAGCAGGGTGTCCGGGGGAAGAGGATAGAGCAGGAGAGGATGGAATGGGGGGAAAAGGATAGTGAGGAGGAGAGTAGAAATGAGGAAGTGTGGCATTTGCAACTGAATTCCTCCCTCCCTTCTATCAAAGAGCCATGGGAGAATCATAGATCTTCCGGATACCTCCCTCCTTACTATCACCCTTCTCCATGATCAATCACAAACACCCACACCACCCATAGAGAAAAACGCCGTTCAAGCATGCTGTGCCGTTAACCGCTTCACCCGTCTATTGCCACACCTCCTTACAGTCCCACTGTACAGTCACACCCACTCACCACCACGAGATCTTCTATGGACCACGACTCCATTAGGCTGCAAGCAACGAAGTCATTCCTCGTTACAGTCACTCGTTACAGTCACTCGTTACAGTCACTCGTTACAGTCACTCGTTACAGTCACTCGTTACAGCCACACTCACCTGCACGGCATCCTCTATGGACCGCGACTCCATGAGGCTGCGAGCAACAAAGTTCCGCCCTATGCCGCCCTTCACCACTTCTGATGGCGCTGGGGGAACCGCGTCCATGGAGAAACCCTGGAAGAGGGGGAGGGGGAGGGGGAGGGGGATGTGGAGGGGGAGGGGGAGAGGGAAAAACACAGGCACCAAGTTGAAATCGGCACAGAGGGCAAAAAAGTTGCGCCCTATCCCCCCCTGCACTAATTCTGACGCCGCTGGGGGTAACACGTCCATGAAGAAACCCTCAAGGCCACGGAGGGGAGCTCTCCCGCGTAGGTGTATGCGTTGACGGTCACAACTGGTGAACTCAGTTCAGTTGCGATAGTGAGTCTCTCTGCTCTCACCATTCTGGCATCGTTGAAGACAAAGGCAACGGAGGGGAGCTCGCCAGCATAGGTGTATGCGGTGAAGGCACAGCAACACCGCTGTCGGCATGCATGTGCACCAGTCAGTCTCTCTGCTCTCACCATTCTGGCATCGTTGAAGCCAAAGGCCACGGAGGGGAGCTCGCCAGCATAGGTGTATGCGGTGAAGGCAAGCCATGGCACAAGGGAGCTCCGAGCTCACCTCACCATGCAGTAAAAGTACTAAGTAGGCGTACGCGTTTCGGCCTGTGAGCCATGGCACAAGGGAGCTCCCACCTCACCTCACCATGCAGTAAAAGTACTAAGTAGGCGTACGCGTTTCGGCCTGTGAGCCATGGCACAAGGGAGCTCCCACCTCACCTCACCATGCAGCCATGGCACAAGGGAGCTACGAGCTCACCTCACCATGCAGTAAAAGTACTACGCGTTTTGGCCTGTGAGCCATGGCACAAGGGAGCTCCGAGCTCACCTCACCATGCAGTCAAAGTACTAAGTAGGCGTACGCGTTTCGGCCTGTGAGCCATGGCACAAGGGAGCTACGAGCTCACCTCACCATGCAGTAAAAGTACTACGCGTTTTGGCCTGTGAGCCATGGCACAAGGGAGCTCCGAGCTCACCTCACCATGCAGTAAAAGTACTAAGTAGGCGTACGCGTTTCGGCCTGTGAGCCATGGCACAAGGGAGCTCCCACCTCACCTCACCATGCAGTAAAAGTACTAAGTAGGCGTACGCGTTTCGGCCTGTGAGCCATGGTACAAGGGAGCTCCCAGCTCACCTCACCATGCAGTAAAAGTACTAAGTAGGCGTACGCGTTTCGGCCTGTGAGCCATGGCACAAGGGAGCTACGAGCTCACCTCACCATGCAGTAAAAGTACTACGCGTTTTGGCCTGTGAGCCATGGCACAAGGGAGCTCCGAGCTCACCTCACCATGCAGTCAAAGTACTAAGTAGGCGTACGCGTTTCGGCCTGTGAGCCATGGCACAAGGGAGCTACGAGCTCACCTCACCATGCAGTAAAAGTACTACGCGTTTTGGCCTGTGAGCCATGGCACAAGGGAGCTCCGAGCTCACCTCACCATGCAGTAAAAGTACTAAGTAGGCGTACGCGTTTCGGCCTGTGAGCCATGGCACAAGGGAGCTACGAGCTCACCTCACCATGCAGTAAAAGTACTAAGTAGGCGTACGCGTTTCGGCCTGTGAGCCATGGCACAAGGGAGCTCCCACCTCACCTCACCATGCAGTAAAAGTACTAAGTAGGCGTACGCGTTTCGGCCTGTGAGCCATGGCACAAGGGAGCTCCGAGCTCACCTCACCATGCAGCAACGAGACAGAGAAACCCACCATTCTGGCGTTGTTGAAGCCGAAAGCGACAGAGGGGCTTTTGAGTCGACTCCAAAGCAAACGAGAAACCCACCATTCTGGCGTTGTTGAAGCCGAAAGCAACAGAGGGAAGCTCGCCCGCGTAGGTGTATGCGGTGAAGGCAACACCGCTGTCAGCATGCACGTGCACCAGGAAGCTGTGACGAAATGACGCGGGTTCCGGAGGAGAGGTGGAAGAAGGCAAGATGTGGGAGAGGAGAGGTGGAAGAGGAGAGGTGGAAGAAGGCAGGATGTGCTGTTATTAGTAAACAGGTGGGCTGCGGAGGTCTGACGTGGCAGAACAAGAGGTGGAAGAGGAGAGGTGGAAGAAGGCAGGATGTGCTGTTATTAGTAAACAGGTGGGCTGCGGAGGTCTGACGTGGCAGAACAAGAGGTGGAAGAGGAGAGGTGGAAGAAGGCAGGATGTGCTGTTATTAGTAAACAGGTGGGCTGCGGAGGTCTGACGTGGCAGAACAAGAGGTGGAAGAGGAGAGGTGGAAGAAGGCAGGATGTGGGAAGTAGTGAGGAAGGGCTATTTTCAGGCATGGTACAACAGGATATGTCGCAACATAACATGGCATGGCATAGTGTGGGTATGGATTGGCGTAGTATGGGTATGGTATGACATGGCATGACATGGCATGGCATAGCATGGGTATGGAATGGCATGGCATGGCATGGCATGGCATGGTATGGTATGGTGTGGCACGGCACAGTATGGGTATGGCACGGCACGTCGTAGCATGGCATAGTATGCGTGGTATGGCATTGTATGCAGTGGCGTGGCATGGCACGGCATGCCACTCACGTGTTATCCACAATCGAGTAATCCGCATCCTCGTTGTGTCCCACTGCTGCCACGTCATCCGTGAGCAGTAACACGTCAGAGCAGTCGTCAGACGACATGCCATACTGCAGCGCCCTGTCCAACGTGGCAGCACCAGAACCACCAGATCCAGTCATAGCCGGCGAGGTCAGCTCAGGCAGCAGTGCTGACGTGGCAGGAGCGTTGAGTGACGGCAGAAAGGGGCCGAACTCCTTGCGAAGGTTCAGAAGCAGCAGCTGTCGTGGAAGAGATGGGTGTTAAGGTACAACAGGGTAGACAGTAGACAGTAGATTGAGGACAGTAGACAGTAGATTGAAGACAGTAGACAGTAGATTGAGGACAGTAGACATGAAGTGGGGGGCGGTGATTTTTGCGAAAGCATCCAGACTACCTAATACTCCAGCCGTCGGATCTATCCTCATCCGACGGGCTGCAGCTCACTCAGATGCCGTTTGAAGCTTCTCAAAGCCAGGCCAGTTCAGCAAACGGTTGGACAGGCAGCACAAGACCGGACAGTGACCACAATCAAACCTTTTTCAACGACGCCCGCCGCGGCGTAGGGGATCCACTAAGCTCGCCAAACAAGGCGGCTCAAGTCACTTCCGGTGAAGGGGATCGGCTCACCTCGTCAAACGGAACACAGCTGCCTGCCGCCATGCCTCGGAGTTCCTCCCAGTACTCCGGGTATAGCGACCTGCGGTGGCCATGGAAAGGCAAAGGGGGTGAAAGGGGGACAGGACAGACGGCGGCGGAAAAGTCTGAGCTGTGGTGGGTGCTGTACCGAGTTGAACTACAACTTCAATTGAAGATGGGGCTGTGATAGCTCGCCGTTAGGTGATAACTAGCGGTTGCTGGATACGTTGTTTGAGCCCAGAAAGGTAGTGCGTTTCTATCACTTCTTGTAATCTGCTCAGAAGAGTGGTTTACTTGTTCAGTCGTTAATACCCATGGAGTTAAAAAGCGGCGTTCTGAGTCATAATGAGGGCTCACTTGTTGGACTCGGAAAACATTTCCAGCAGCCAAGCTCCTTCACCCGTCCGTGCGAACGGAATCATGTCGTCGTGCAGAAACGGCGCCTTGGCGACGCGATCGCGGATCTTGTCGCCGAATCGCACACCAATCGCACAGCCGCGCTCGAACGGGCTGCCAGACACTTCGAGCCATTCGAGCGGCTTAGGGACTGCTGACGCGCTGACTGCGCACACGTTCGCTGACGACGTGGATCTGGCTGACGTGGCGCGTACGGCGGATTTGGAGGAGGGTGAGTGAAGGGTGGCGGATGCGACTGGGGGTCGCACGCCGACTTGCGAGAGAGTCATGATACTAGGGCCTGCGACGACAATAGCTGGAGCCATGGCGAAAAGCAACAGTCAAACTCGAAGCTCTATCGATAGAATACGCAGTGCTCTTGGCAAGGAATCTGGACTCAGAGGTTTCGACAGATTCAAAATCACGATGTACTGATAAGTAGGCTGTGCTACAAGAAGCCTTCACAAACGAGAAGGCTTTACTACGAATACGTCCAGTGATTTTCTCGCAACTAAGTACGTTCAGCCGTTCCGCAACGGCTGTTGCTGTGCGATCATAGCGCAAGAGGAAGCGCTACTACCTGCTACACGCGAAGCGCGGAACCCACTCACTGTGCGCGCTGGAAGCTGACGGATGCTGTCAGAGAGGGCCACGAGGGATGTGAGGTGGCGTCGCGCTTTGGCTTTGGCTTAATTCGCTTGTCACGCTGGCTCGGAACCTTGAAGATTCTGGTTAGCTAGTCCACTTGTTCGCCTGAAGTCTTGGGAGAGAGTCTAGTCCTACAAGAAGAATATCATCCAATCCTCGATGCCCTTATCACTTTCCCGCCAAATATAAGCGTGGTATTCGAGAAACTAATCTGAGTAAGCGTTGGAGAAATCGAAGCTACGAGTTGCGACTCTAGAAACAAATTTCAGGATGGTGAATCGAAGGTCTGCTTCCATGAGTGGGGGTGTCATGGATCTAAATGAATTTTGCCGCGACTCGACTGGGCGCAGGGATTGTTAGTTTGAGCTGATCGCAGAGGTAACTATGATTGGCTGTAATATGAAATTCGGAGATTTGTGGCCAATCTACGAGGAGAACGGTTTCCACACGAGTGACAGAACTGAGACACGGAGGTGGAGGGGACCATCTCACATTCCCAATGCATCACGGCTTTCATGAGAAGTTGTTCAGCTGAGCGGGAAAGAGTCAGTGCGAGATGAGTGCCAGCGTGTCGCATCGCGGGAGCAACCACTGCGATGCGGCTCGTTCCGACAACCTTACGTCCTGGGGATGAGGTGTAGTGTAGAGTAGAGGTTGTTGCCAGAAGCCGAAGAGATGTAGAAATGCCATGTCAGCCTGATGCCACATCATCACCATCCACCCAATGCTCAGTTGACTGGCACGTAAGCTATTTCTGTTCAGCAAACCACTTCTCCAGGCTTCTCTGAAACATACACTCCAGCAAGGCCAAACCGACCTGCAGATCACCGCAAGCAGCGTCAAATCGAACAGAAACCAGTCAAATTCGACGTGAAATGTTTCACATCCGCGTCAGAGAAGTCTGCCATGATTTCGGTGTAACAAACCCTTCGGCGACAGGATATAGACATCCTAGCGGAGAGATTCATAGCGCATCGTCGACATGCTGCGGAGATTGATGGCATGGAGTTGACGAGGAATTGCGACACATGACGTTGATCACTCTTTCCCGATGCAGAATGCTTCGCTTTGGTCGCAATGTGCTATAGAGTTATCCGCATCTGTATCAAACTGCTAGTCATGAGAGAGACTGTAAGCTCATTCATGTCAAAAATCAGTTCCAAGCTCGATTGGTGCACATAATGGCAACACTAGGCACAAAGCTCCCATTCCATCTATCAACTCTAGGTCCTCTATCATCAGCATCATCATGCTATTTTCAATTACAATATTCTCTTGTTTCACTTCCATGCATCACCCTCCGTTCGCACTTCAGAGGCCTCCACAACTTCAGGTTGTACCGAGGCGCTTGTTGACGAGGATGGGGAAGCAGGGGCAGCAGCAGCAGCTTGAGGAATGGCGAGCGCCATCATTTCATACACGCGCGAGCCAAACTCAGCAGGGTTCTCCGGCTGGTTGAAGGGCAACAGTGAAGAGAGATGGGGAAGGGGAGAGGGGGTGAGGGTGAGTGATGGAGCAGCAGGCGGGCAGAAGCAGGGGCAGACGCAGCAGCAGCTTGAGGAACAGCAAGGGCCATCATCTCATACACGCGCGAGCCAGACTCAGCAAGGCTCTCCGGCTGGATGAATAATGACGATGGATTTACATGAGGGGTAGGAACACGTGTTATTTGAATGGGCCTTCCTGCAAGTCCACTCACCGGGAATCCAGAGGCGATGTGGGCCGTCTCATACAGCAGATCCGCCAGCTGCTCAAGGGACCACTCACACATCCCACACTGCCCCCACCCACACATCTCAAGAGCCATCCCACAAAACAAACCCACTCACCGGGAATCCCGAGGCAATGTGCGCTGTCTCATACAGCAGATCCACCAGCTGCCTTGCCTTGGCACTATCCGGTGCCACACTGCTCTGCACCTGCAGGGGGGGCGGACGGAGGGTTGAAGGGGCGGACGGAGGGTTGAAGAGGGCGGAGGGAGGGTGAGGAAGAAGATGAAACAGCATGCTCCAACTCAAACAGCTGCCTCGGCTTGGCACTATCTGGTGCTACACTGCTCTGCACCTGCAGAAGGGGAAGCAGAGTAACGTGAGGGAAGCAAGGCAGCGAGTGCATGCGATGTGAGTGAGGATGTTCCAAGCTTTACCTAACGATTTTCAGAGTTTCAAGGTTTTCACAGCTCCCAAATTTCCTGATTAGATCATAAAAGCAAGCATTAGTGTGCAACAAGCCACCCCACTGCAAAGTTTTTTCACATAGAATGCATGAACGGTCCAGATGGGGGTCTCACCTTGAGGTCCTTGATGATCGGATGGTCAGCGTTGATCTCCAAAATCCTCCTGCCCCTCATAAACTCGGCCTGCTGGGGGTCGCCCATGGTCTGCGCCTTCATGATGCTGCATGCGGAAGGAGAGGAAGGAGGGGGAGAGGGAGTGGGGTGGTTTTGGGGGGGGGAACGGGGGAAGGCAAGAGCACATACATCCAGGATCCGCCTGCTGGGGGTCGCCCATGGTCTGCGCCTTCATGATGCTGCCAGGGTTGAGGAGAGAACAGGGAAAGGATATAGGAGCGAGGAAACAAACTTTCATTCGCTCATTCCTGGCGTGCTTGAGTACCATTCGCGCATCCGCGAAGAGAACCACACACCTTGTCCCGAATTGAGGTCGTTTTTGAGGCGCCTTGCTCCTAAAACGACCTCAACGCATCCGCGAAGAGAACCACACACCTTGTCCCGAATTGATCTGTGGCTGACATAGATGCCTGAATGAACTATAGCCACCTTGTCCCCCAGCACGCCCTTCATCCAATCTCACACACGCCCACAAACTCCTTCTCCTCCTCCCTCTTGTGAGACCTCAAAGGTAACAGTTGACTCTGTTTGACTCTGCCAGATTCCGTGAGACTCACCGTTCCATGTTGGCAGACCAGCCGAATTTCCCAGCGACCAGCACGCAGGGCGAGGAGGGGATCCGCTTGGACACCTGCACTTTTGTTCCCCGGCACGCCCTTCATCCACTCACACACGCCCTGGAACCGCTTCTCCTGCCATGGACCCTCATTGACTTTGTTTGACTCACCGCTCCATGTTGGCCGACCAGCCGAACTTGCCAGCCACCAGCACACAGGGGGAAGAGGCGATCCGCTGGGACACCTGCACTTTGGCCACCTTGTCTCCAAGAACCCCCTTCATCCAATCACACACGCCCGCAAACTCCTTCTCCTGCTCCCTCTTGCTCGCCTCGTCGCCCTCATCCCCCAAATCCAGATCCTCCTTGGAAATATCCACAAACTTGAGGTCCTTGTAACTCTGTAACGTGGTAACAGCAACCTCGTCGATCGGCTCGACCAGGAAGAGAACTTCCAACCCCTTCTGGTTCAATTTCTCCAAAAACGGCGCCGATTTCGCGCTGCGAACGGTATCCGCAGCAATGTAGTAAATTTCCTTCTGCCCGTCCTTCATCCTGCCCGTGTAATCCTCCAGCGAAATCAACTCATCCTCAGATTTCGACGAGAAGAAGCGCAGGAGGGGCGCAAGGCGCTTGTGGTTACCAGCGTCCTCGATGCACCCGAGCTTCACGTTGCGCCCGAAGCTCTGCCAGAAGGTGGTGTAGTCGCTGCTGGGCTTGCCGTCCGCGTCCTTCCGGGCGGCGACATCATCCAGCATGTCAAAGACCTTGCGCACGAGGCGCTTGCGCATGATGCGCACAATGCGGGACTCCTGGAGGATCTCGCGAGAGACGTTGAGAGGGAGGTCGTTGGAGTCGACGACTCCCTTGATGAACGCCATGTAGCGGGGGAGCTGGGAAAGGGGAGAAGGGGAGGGGGTCGAGAAGGAGCAAAGGGACAGGGAAATGGGAGGGGAGGCGACGCCTTAAACTGCAGTAGTGCCAGCATGTGGGGCGACATGTGCTGGGGTGACGTCGTCCAGCATGTCAAAGACCTTGCGCACGAGGCGCTTGCGCATGATGCGAGACTCTTGGAGGATCTCGCGAGAGACGTTCAGGGGCAGGTCGTTGGAGTCGACAACTCCCTTGATGAACGCAATGTAGCGGGGCAGCTGGGGGGGAAGTGGAGGAATGGGAGCAAAAAGGGGAAACGGGGAAAAAAAAAGAATGGGGGAGAGTGCAAGGAGACGTCGAGTGGGAGGTCATAGGAGTCGACCACTCCCTTGATGAACGCCATGTCGCGCAGCAGCTGAAGGGTTGGGGGGAGGGGAACAGGGGAGGGGAGAGAGCCGAAAGAGGAGGGAATGGGAGGGGGGGAAGGGGAAGATAGGAGGTGCTTCGAATAGGCAGAGCAGGCATGTAGGTGGGGGGGAATGTAGTGGGGGAGGGCATGACGTCATCCAGCATGTCAACCTTGCGCGCACGATGCGATTACGCATGATGCGGGCAACTTTTGAGACGTCTCAAAAGTCATGATGCGGACAACTTTTGAGACGTCTCAAAAGTCATGATGCGGACAACTTTTGAGACGTCTCAAAAGTCATGATGCGGACAACTTCTTTGAGACGTCTCAAAAGTCATGATGCAGACGTCTCAAAAGTCATGATGCAGACCAATACGGGACTCTTGCAGGACTTCACTGGCCACGTTCAGTGGGAGGTCGTTGGAATCGAATCGACCACCCCCTTCTCCCCCTGAAGGAATCCATGGCGCTTTCCTTGGGAACATGTTGTTGGCGTCAAGGAAAGCGTCATGAAACCCCTTTTCTCCCCTCAACTCCTGAGCCCCTAAAAACCTACACCCAGAGCCCTTGGGTCCCCCTCTGCACTCACCAGCTCGCCATCAAACTGGTCGGAGATGAAAACGCGCTTCACGTAGAGGCGGATGTTGCGTGTCTTGCCGGAGAACATGTCGTTGGCATCAAAGGGCGCCATGCCGGGAATGTAGAGCAGCGACTTGAACTCGATCTCGCCCTCCGTTGAGAAGTGCGTATGCGCCAGCGGGTCGAGGAACTCTTTAAACGTGTTCTTGAAGAACTCATTATATTCCGCCTGCCCCACCTCCTTGGGGGCGCGGACCTGCAGCGGGGGAGGGAGTGAAGGAAACGGGGTAACGGGGAGAGTGTCAGTCAGTGTGATGATGCAGCCAAGTGCTTTTGAGTCGACTCAAAGGGAGGGAGTGAAGGAAACGGGGTAAAGAAAGTGTCAGTCAGTGTGATGATGCCGCGAAGTGCGCCTGGGCCAGCAGGTCGAGGAACTCTTAAAACGTGTTCTTGAAGAACTTGTTGTACTCCGCCTGCTCGACTTCCTTGGGTGCGCGGACCTAATGCATGGAGGGGAGGGAGGGGGCGAGGAAAGGGGAGAGAGTGTCAGTGCGATGTTGCAAGAAGGTGCGTGTGTACGAGCGGGTCGAGGAACTCCTTGGAAGGTTTTTTTGAAGTACTCGTTGTACTCTGCTTGATCCACCTACTTTGGGGCGCGGACCTGCAAACGGAGAGGGAGAGGGAGTGAAGGAAAAGGGGTGAAGAAGGGGAGAGAGTGACAGTGTGATGTTGCAGAGAAGTGTGTGTGTGTGTGTGTGTGTGTGTGTGTGTGTGTGTGTGTGTGTGTGTGTGTGTGTGCAAGCCGGTCGAGAAACTCGTTGAAGGTGTTCTTGAAGTACTCGTTGTACTCTGCTTGATCCACCTACTTGACTCGCGCTGACTCATCCAGATGGGCTTGGTGTTGTTCTCCAGCACACAGTCAAAGTACTTCTCCTCCACCGTGCGAGTCTTCTTCACCGTGTGGTGACTTAAGTTTGTTATGCATTGGCCACCGTTGACTCGTTCATTGACCAGTGTTGACTTGCGTTGACCAGCGATTGACTCACCCAGATGGGCTTGGTGTCATTCTCCAGCACCCAGTCGAAGTACTTCTCCTCCACCGTGCGAGTCTTCTTCATTTGACCAGCTTTGACACTAGCATTGACTAGTGTTGACCAGAGTTGACCTGCGTTGACCCACTCACCCAGATGGGCTTGGTGTCGTTCTCCAGCACCCAGTCAAAGTACTTCTCCTCCACCGTGCGAACCTTCTTCACTGGCGGCTCTCCCTCCTCCTTGGCCGCCTCCTCATACTCCTCCTGCCATGGCAAGTAGGGACCGGGTTGGGATGAGGAGATGGGGGACGAGAGGGGAGAGGAGAGCGATGAGGAGGGATATGAGGAGGGGGATGAAGAGGAGCGGGGTGAGGGGGTGAGGGGGAGGGGGATGAGGAGGAGGGGGTGAGGGGGAGGGGGATGAGGAGGAGGGGGATGAGGAGGAGGGGGGTGAGGAGAAGGGGGATGAGGAGGGGGGTGAGGGGGAGGGGGATGAGGAGGAGGGGGATGAGGAGGGGGGTGAGGGGGAGGGGGATGAGGAGGAGGGGGATGAGGAGGGGGGTGAGGGGGAGGGGGATGAGGAGGAGGGGGATGAGGAGGGGGGTGAGGGGGAGGGGAATGAGGAGGGGGGTGAGGGGAGGGGGATGAGGAGGAGGGGGATGAGGAAGGGGGTGAGCGGAGGGGGATGAGGAGGAGGGGGGTGAGGGGGAGGGGGATGAGGAGGAGAGGGGTGAGAGGAGAGGGATGAGGAGACTCACTATCACAACAGCTCAACACAGTTCTTCCCTACAAACTTCAGTGTCCCTGCCCTACATTCAGGGCACATGCTCCTGCCACATGTCCTAATCTCTTCCTAATCTCAGACCGGCCGAAACGCGCGTTCGCTCAGGTTTGAATGTCAATATCTTACCTATTCATTCCCTACTAGCCTCAGCTCAGCCTAGAGAGATTAGGAAGAGAATAGGACGAGTTACCTGTTGGATCCAGGTCGAAACTGTTTTTCTGTGCCACATGTAAATGGGGATCCCGATGCATCGAGAGTGGCGAGATGCTCTGAAACAACCCACGCAGCTGTCTATCTAAACCCTCAACCCTCGCCTCACCTCCTTGGAGCGCGTCTGCTCCTGCCACATGTAGATGGGGAATCCGATGAACTGCGAGTAGTTCTTCACCAGGCTCGCCAGGCGTGATGGGTCTGAGTACTCCGCCTTCTGGTCGTCCTGCTCATAGGCGGAAGGGATGAAAAGGTGTGGAGAGAGGTGGGGGGGTTGAACAGGTGGACTTAGAGTTGACTCCAAAGGAGGCCCTGCAATGAACTGCGAGTAGTTCTTCAGCAGGCTCGCCAGGCGCGCGGGATCCGAGTACTCTGCCTTCTGGGTGTGTTTTGAGTCGACTCAAAACACACCGGGATCCGAGCACTCTGCCTTCTGGTCGTCCTGCACTCACACACGCCACAGGGTGGAAGAAGAGATGGAGAGGGATAGAGAGGGAGGGGAGGTTTCTAGAGCCAACGCATATGACTCGTCTCACACATACTCCAGGCGAGCACATGGGAACTCCAGCTTCACCCAGGAGTTGGTACATCTCTAAGTGGGGAGTTGTTTTGAAGCGCTTCAGAAGACCTGGTACATATTTAAATGAGTTAGATTTCCTTCACGCGCCTCAATATCGTCCATGGGAGTGGGAGCACTTCATTACGCCATGAGCTGGCAAATCATTAAACCCTGAACCCCGACACCTCATCTAAACCCTCTACCTCTCAGTGTACGTGTTCCGATCCGCCTCCGCCTCCCACACCCAATCTGCTTGTTGCCCCTTGTCTTCCCAAACGCTAAACCCAGAAAACCCTGAACCCCTAGTTTCTCACCTTAAGGTGCAGCTGGATGGACGTGCCACGGGCAAGCTGCTCCCCGTCCGAGTCCTCGCGCACCGTGTACGTGCTCTGGTCCGCCTCCGCCTCCCACACCCACTGCTTGCCGCCCTTGGCGCTCTTGGTGCGCACGGTGACGCGGTCTGCCACCAGGAACGCGGAGTAGAAGCCCACTCCGAACTGCCCGATCAGGTTGCTGTCCACCTCGCCCTCCTTCTCCTGCTTCTCCTGTTGTGTGGTGGGGCGGGGGCGGGAGTGGGGGGGGAAGGGGAGGGTGAGGGGGAACGGAGGGTGGTTCTGGGGTCTAGAGTAGCCTCACGAGGAAGGCGGAGTAGAAGCGCACTCCGAACTGCCCGATCAGGTTGCTGTCCACCTCGCCCTCCTTCTCCTGCTTCTCCTGTTGTGTGGTAAGGAGGGGGAAGGGCAGGGCCGGGGCCCGGGAGGTAGGGAGGGCAACTTATGATGATGCCGACTCTAGGGCAACTCAAGAGTCAACTCCAGGGCAGATTCACGTTGGAGGGTCGTTCAGCACTCAGAGAGCTAGAGAGCCAGAATCCCCACCCACCCGAAAGGCTCATCTCAGCATGGTGTTCCTTGTAGCGTCGGAGAGTGAGCCGACGCCCTGAGAAATCCAGCCTCTCTCCCACGCTCTCAGCACTGAGCGGAAGCATCTCAAGTTACAAGCCCTCCCCGCGCTACAAGCCGCCCCGTGCTCACCTTGATGGCCTGCACGAACTTGGCGGTGCCACTCTGCGCGATGGTCCCCAGCGAGTCCATAAGCTCCTCCTTGGTCATACCGATGCCCGTATCGCTGTGTAGGCACAAAGGGGGGGGATGAAGAGTAAAGGCAGAGTGAAGGAAGCGATAAGGAAACGCGTGAGAAGGGGGAAAAGAGGGCGATGGTCCCCAGCGAGTCCATGAGCTTCTCCTTGCTCATACCAATGCCCGTATCGCTGTGGATGGGGAGGGAGGGACGAGGTGCGGGCAGAGAGAATGAATCGAGTGAGAGGGGAAGGCTTTTGAGGCGCCTCAAAAGACGAGGTGCGGGCAGAGAGAATGAATCGGGGTTACTTTTTTTCACTGTTTGACTATCGTCCCTTTGCTAAAGGCGACCTTGCCTACTGCTGCCCTTCTTCATGAGCACAGATCCGTGGGACGAGGTGCGGGCAGAGAGAATGAATCGAGTGAGAGGGGAAGAGCGGCGAACGAGGTGAGTGAGATGTAGAATCTTGGTTCTAAAGGGTATGTTAGCGGCTCCTTGGTCCAGCAGCAAACAAGCGTGGACTGCGTGAAGGAGATAGTACAATAGCACAGCAGTGACGAGCTAGCACAGCACAGCAGAGTACAGCACACAACACCACGCCACACTCCACCGCACCGCACTCACGTGATGGTGATGGAGCCCGCAGCGGGGACCGCCTTGATGCGGATCGCAAGCTCCGCTCCCGATTTTTGAGTTGGTTCAGAAGTCACTACACTCCATCGCACCACACCACATCGCACACCACCACACAACACCGCACCACACCACTGCAGACCGCACTCACGTGATGGTGATGGTGCCGGAGGCGGGGTCCGCCTTGATGCGGATGGCGAGCTCCGAGTCCGCCGCCATGAGCGCCGGGTCCGTCACCGACAGGAACCGCAGCTTGTCCAACGCATCGCTCGCATTGCTGGGTGGCGAGAGGGGCGGGGAGAGGAGGAAGGGCGAGAGGAGGAAGGGGGAGAGGAGAAAAAGGGGGAGGAGGGGAGGAGTGAGGAGAAGTAAGAGAGACGAGACAGGATCCACAGGAGGGAATGGTCGCACCGGAATTCTAGTACTGCGAGACAGTTGCAAGACTACTATGCTTTTACGGAGAGATTAGTATCGACGTAAGCCTCTTGCAATCGCCTACAGGCATGATCATGCCTAATTCGACGAGGCCCTGCATGAGATTCTAGGTGATACACTATGAAGAGTGAAGAGCAACGTAACCAGGTTACAATTACGAGATCAGCTCGTACCTGACCAGCTCGCGAGGGAACACCTCGCGGTGGCTGTAGAGAGAGAGTGCACGATGAGATCCTAAGGCTGCAGGGTATATCCTGAAGTATTCGAAAACAACCCGCCAGGCTATTCGTACCTGACGAGCTCGCGAAGGAAGACCTCACGGTGGCTGTAAAGAGAGTGCACGATGAGATCCATGAGCCGATTCACCTGCGCGCATACGGAAACGTGGATAGGAAGACGTGGACAGAAACACGTGAGTAGTTATATTCATGAATCATTCACGTGCGCGCACAACGGCACGTGTGGAAACGTAAGTTGCATCGTGAGATTCAACTCGCCTCAAGCTCCCATAAGTCTCGCCCTTCCACCCACCTCCGCCTGGTACGTGAAAGTCTCAGAAGCGGGGGCCTCTGTCGTCGTGGCGTTGCACCGGACGGGGCTCCACGTGGCAGGCTTCTGCGCGGCACGCTGCGATGCTGACGTGGCATGAGCGGCCGAGCGGGAGAGGCGGGCAAGAAGTGTGGGGTTGCCGGAGGAGACGGAGCGCCACGAGATGGACGGTGCTGATGCGGTTGACTGCGCGGGAAGGCGGGAAGGAGAAAGAGAAGAAAGGCGAGAGGTTCAGGTCATCTAAAGGGGGTTCACAGTTGACTCAACAGATACGAGAGGAAACCTCTATGGTCAGTAAAAGACGAGGGTGATTGGCACGGCATGGCCAGATTGCAACGGCAACGAATTATAAGACGTCACACAACTCGATCGCAACGGTAACGAGAGTGAATCACGCACCGCAGTCTTGGCCGAAGCATCCTTCGCCAGCAGCGCGCGCGGCGCGCTCGAGAGCGACGCGGCGTTCATCTGAATAGCGGCCATGGCTGGGAGATCTGAAAGCGCGGGGATAGCGCGGTGCGCGGAACGCAGGAGTCGGCGTGCGGCAATCGCACGAGAGAGCATCAAAACGAAACACCCTCCGGGGCTGGCTGCGAAGCAAAGCGAAGCTCGCACAGTTCTATGGCCGGTGCAGCAAAACTGTGATCAGCGAGCAAGTTATGTGTGAGAGCAGCAAGAAAGAGTGCGAGCAAGCAACCAAGCGAAAATAATTGATCTGACGATATTTCATCTCCCAAGGCCGCTGGAGCCCCACCTGCTGCTGCGCGTTGTCGCGAGTTTCAAGCGGGGTTTGGCTGAGACGCAGGCGGAAAGCTGGCGGAAAGGATCAATCCCGAAGTGGGGGACAATATGCTCTGTGCTCGCGGGAAAGGTTTGGCGGAAAAGGTTAACAGGAGCGAAACTGGAATGCGCAGAGCGGGTCACCGCCGAATGCCGAATGCAGGAAGCGGGGGGAAGAATGTGGAATGTGCTTACGGCATTCTCAAGGCTTTCCAGGTGGACCGAGAAAAATGCACTCTGTACGCGTGGCATCGAGTTTTATGTGCCATATCATTTTCTAGAAAGGGTACTGATTCGGCGTGGTGAACATGTCACCGTGCCAGCTCAGCCTTGATTGAGGTGATTACTAGAAGGTTCGATTGCTAGTATAGAGCGTAAATGATGGTGGGATCGGATCGGTCACATATGGTATGCAATCTGAAAACATATGTACAAGGACCTTTGTATAGATAGGAACACAATTGCGTGGAGCAGGACAATGAATCTGGAGCAGGGAAACAAGGAATTTGGTGCTAGCAAGAGAGCGTCACTATTATTCTCAAAGCAACTACAGCAGCAGAGCAACGTGGGGTGCATGCTGCATAGACAAATCTCCACGATGATCACTCAAAATGGTTGGAACCAGTAACCACTTTGAAATTCCTCGGATCACATGAGACAATCAAACAAAAATGGCACCGCACTTCAAAGTGGACTACTCTAAATTCCACCGACGCACTAACTTTAGGCCCTTGGCAGCTAAAAAAATCAAATTGTCCACTGGTTTAGGCTGAGTGCTTGGTCTCCATGTGCTTCTTCAGAAATGCCTCAGCATTGAACTTCCTGTTGGCCACACAACATGCAACAGCACACAACCCAAGGGGAGAAACAGGGAGGGCAACACAATCACCACACCACAAGCCAAGAGTGAGAAAACGCGGGGCCACACAACATGCAACACCACTCAACAAGCCAAGGGTGAGAAAATGTGGCATAAAGAAACACACAGCCATCAGCAGCCATTAACCAGCAGCAATATACAAAAGACAAACATCAAAGCACGGATGAAGGCATCGCTAAGTGACCGAGCAGGGATGTTGTTTGCATTGCCTTTTGCTGTTTTTTACCCTAATTTTCCTATTTGGGGCCTTTTAAAAAGAGCACGTTGGGCAATAGAATAGACGATGACATGACGACTTACTTGGGGCACAATGTGCAGTGGAAAATAGCCTTCTTCTTCCCTCCAGACGCAGGGGTTGCTGTGGCGCCAGGCTCTGGCGTGCCTGCTGCTGCTGCTGCTGGCGGTGTCACTGCTGCTGGTGTTGCTGCTGCAGGCTTGGCAGCAGGAGTGGCAGGCTTGGCAGCCTAATCAAGAACAATGATAGTGCGGGTATTGTAAAAAAGAGGTAAGTTGATTAGGAAGGGAGGGGGATCAGAGTGAAATGTTAGTCGTTTCACTGTAAGAAGGCATTTCAGGAGTGGAGAGGAAGGGGAGGTGAGGAGGCAGTGAGAGGTGAGGGCGGGTTGGGGGTAGCACAGAGGGGAATGGAGTGGGCAGTGGGAGAATACATGGTCCAACATAACAGTGCTCACATCACCATGAACCCAGAATGCTCCTATCCCCATGCATGCATTGATGCTCCCATCCCCATGGATGCATTGATATTCCCATCCCCATGCATGCATTGATATTCCCATCCCCATGCATGCATTGATATTCCCATCCCCATGCACGCATTGATGCTCCCATCCCCATGCACGCATTGGTGTTCCCATCCCCATGCATGCATTGACGCTCCCATTCCCATGCATGCATTGATGTTCCCAATGTTACTTCTTAGCGTGTATACGATTTGGAGCCGGCTATTAGGGTGGGTACAGGATTAACTGCAATCCGAAACCCAAATAATAGACTCGACCCAGCACTGCCGTCAACCCTTGAGCCATAACCCAACAGCAGCACGGGCCAGCAGTGAGGGGCAGCAGCAGGGGCCAGCAGTGAGGGGCAGCAGCAGGGGGCGGCAGTGAGGGGCAGCAGCAGGGGGCGGCAGTGAGGGGCAGCAGCAGGGGGCGGCAATGGGAGCATGAGGCCCTGACTGGAAATTAGAACGTACCTCCTTGGCAGGAGCGGGAGAGGGAGCGGCAGGGGAGGCAGCAGCTGCGTCACCACCAGCGGCAGCGGCAGCAGCTATGGCAGCTTCTCTGCGTTGCTTCTTCTTTTGCGCCTTGGATAGCGCAGGCGAGGGCGTGGCCGCGGGAGAATCCGCTTGGCGCTTGGCGCCCGCTGCAGGCTGTAGTGTGGGTGTTGGGGAGGGTGGGGATCGGGGAGAGGGTGGAAGGAAGGGGGGAAGCGAGACATTTGTTTGGGGTCAAGGGTTTTCTTCTTTGGCGCCTTGGATAGCGCTGGCGAGGGCGTGGCTGCGGGAGAATCCGCTTGGCGCTTGGCGCCCGCTGCAGGCTGTGGGAGGGCGGAGGAAGGGGGGTAGCGGGGGGCGATAACAGGGGGGGGTGGGGGGCGATAACAGGGGGGGGGTGGGGGGCGAGGGGTGGGGGGGAAAGAGGCGAAAGATTAGGTTCACTGGTTTGCTTCAAGGTGCGGAGGGTGTTGAGGGAACGGCACGGGAGCAACGGGGGGTGACGAAGAGAATAAAGAATAGACCCAGATAAGAAACACGAAATCTCAAAACCCAGACTCTCGAAATCTCAAAACCCAGACTCTCGAAATCTCAAAACCCAGACTCTCGAAATCTCAAAACCCAGACTCTCGAAATCTCAAAACCCAGACTCTCGAAATCTCAAAACCCAGATTCTCGAAATCTCAAAACCCAGACTCTCGAAATTTGAGACGTCTCAAAAGACGAAGAGAATAAAGAATAGACCCAGATAAGAAACACGAAATCTCAAAACCCAGACTCTCGAAAACTCAAAACCCAGACTCTCTAAATCTCAAAACCCAGACTCTCGAAATCTCAAAACCCAGACTCTCGAAATTTGAGACGTCTCAAAAGACGAAGAGAATAAAGAATAGACCCAGATAAGAAACACGAAATCTCAAAACCCAGACTCTCGAAATCGACCAGGCGGGATTAAAGCCTGGGGATAATAACAAGGGAAGGGGGGAGGAGAGGAGAGAGGAGGAAGAAATGGGGTAGGGGGGAGGGAAGGGAGCGGGGGGAAACCACAGGAAGAACAAGGCAGCGAGAAGAAAGGAAAAGAAGAGGGAAAAAGAAGACCAGAGAGAAGAGAGCGCAACTAGGAGGGGGTTACAGAGATGGCAGCAGGGAAAGAAGTAGACGTGTGGAGAAGCAAGGCCTCGTACCTCGGGTGTAGCGGCAGGTTTAGCAGCGGCAGCAGCAGCAGCGGCGGGCTTGGCTGGCTCCGCCGCGTCTTCCATCTGTTGAGTCAACGGGTGGGGTGAACAAGGTGGGTGTGCAAGGTGGGTGAGAGCAAGATGGGTGAGAAAGATCGGCAGGTTTAGCAGCGGCAGCAGCAGCGGCAGCAGCAGCGGGTTTGGCTGGGTCCGCCCCATCTGCCATCTGTTGGGTCAGCGAATGGGGTGAACAAGGTGAGTGAGCGCAAGATGGGTGCGCGTGGGGTCAACGAGTGGGGTGAATGAGTCACGTGGGACCATGCGGAATGAGAAGCTTCGTGTAAAACAAAGCAAAACAGGGAATGAGAACCGCGATAGGAGGGCCACGAATCTCCCAATACAAATGTGATGTCGTGAAGTAGCTGCTTTCTTAGCGATGTGAACGATAACCCGTGTCAACTCCAGCGTCGCCCGCTGCGCACGAGTGAGTCTTGCCAGGAAAATCACCAAACTAAACCCCAGGTCTTTAGGGAAATCAACACCCCAATGCCTGATACTCACCACAGAAAACAATACGCTAAACCCTGAATCTTGCCAAAGAAATCACCGCGTTAAACCCTGAACTAGGAAAATCAGCCTGCTAGAACCCGGAATTCAGTCAAGCAAACCAGCATTCCAAATTCTTGCCATAAGCCACCCACTAAACCCCGAACCCTGCGAGGTCACGAACACCAATTATACTTAAAGCCCTTAACAACCGGGCCCACCCCTCCGCGGATCTACCACTCGATTTTTAACTGCTTCACGGGTTTGTCCCTTTGACTAAGGCTCACGCGGGGTGGACGCTGCTTCGGCCCACAGCCGCCTAGCGGTCGCCGAACAGTCACCCAACGGTCGCAGCAGCCGCATAACGACAGCAATGCTATGTTCCTAAGGCTCACCTCTGCGTCCTTGCTCGGGCTTGCCCCCTTCTTCCCAGCCTTGGCTGCAACGGCGGCAGGGGCCTTCTTGCTCGGCGGTGTGTCTTCCGCCTCCTCCTCCTCCTCCTCCTCGTCCTCCTCAATATCCTCCTCGTCGAACTCATCGTCCATGTCTGGTCACACGCAAACAGAGGGCAACGAAGAGAAAAACACAGGAAACTAGCGTTAAGGTGGGCTCAAGAGGACTTCTCCCTCTCCTGAATATCTCCCTCGTCGTTTTCGTCCATGTCAGGTCACACGCAGCGAAAAATTAAGTGGACGGAGAGAGAAACTCGGGGAAGATAACAGCAGATCAGCAAATCAGGCAGCAAATCAGAGCGGGGCTCATCTGGTCCACCTTGCGCTTCACCTGCGAAACCGGGTTACCAGCACTTACCATAATCGTCATCGTCGCCGCTGTCGCGCGTCTTGTACCCGGAGAAGAAGATGCTGTGCGAGCCGGAGTGGAAGAGGCTGAACGGCCGGTCGAGCACGAGATCGAGGCTCATCTGGTCCACTTTGCCCTTCACGAGCGTGCCCAGCACCACCGTCACGGGCGCCGGAGGAGCCTCGTCCTCGTCATCGTCGTCTTCCTCGTCGATCTCCTCCCTCAGCTGCACCACCACTCTCTCGTTGTCCTTCGCTTGCACTCCCAGCGCGGCCTGTCGGTCAGAGGAACCGGTTTCAGAACGCCGCGATGTTTTTTGGCAGGCTTGGATCCGTGCGTATAGATCTAGGCGCTCTGAAGGTGCTACATAGCTTGATTGAGCACATTCACGTTTCTCAGAACATGACCAGCCCTGCTTGGTTCGGCACAGGCTCCGGCGCTCAAGGATGGTTCAGTAGCCAAACATAACGAGCTACCGACTTGCTCATATCAGTAGTTGAGAAGCAAAAGAAAGAAAAAAAAAAAACTTGAAGGGGGGACGTTGACGTGCGTACCTGGGAAATGTGGAGGTAGTCAGCATCGTCGTTGGGGTCCTGTTGATATTTATTTGAGACAATCTATAAAATACCCTGCAACGTACCTGGGAAATGTGGAGGTAGTCAGCATCGTCGTTGGGGTCCACTGTGAGGGTCTCCTTGGGCTTCACCTCCACGCCTGCACCAATCGCGCACCCAATCACGTAACCAGATCGCACGACATTCGTCAACACGAAATTTGATTGAGCGGCATTCAATCGCACGACTTCGATCGCACAATCGTGCACAGCACACAGCAGAAGCAGATAATGGAGACTGCGTTGTGATAATGCCTTGTTAGCAAAGACAAGATCACGAATTCAGGGAAACGAGGGAGATGCTGGACGCGTTTTCCAACCCATCATGCTCGACGGATTAAAGGATACGAGCCAGACAATGCGACACGACCAGAGAGATGAGCCAATGACGTGCTAGGCCATCAAACAAGGCGTTATGAAGGACGGAGATAACTAAAAAAACTTCTAAAAAGAATCTCACCCCAAAAGCTCAGCTTTCCGTCCATCTTTTTCTTGTGATTGATTAGACCAAACTGAACTTGGCGGTGCGAGGTGAAGGACTAGGAACTACGCTGACCAGTAAAGGAGGCTCTGCTTCTGAATAATGAGCACCGAACTTTTTGCGAATTTATACGAGGGAGACAAAGCTGCGCGACGTTCTCAAGAGCATGAGGATGAGGGTGTGGGGAGAATGCGCTACACATGATGCCTGTTTGAGCCCTTCCCGGTTGCCTTGTGAAGGGGGCGTATAAACTGTCACGAAACATTTCGGTTAATTTCGTCAATTCGCAGCTAGCTAAAAAGGATTCGCATGTGCTTATATACAATATATGTTACCTTATTTGACTTCAGTCTATTCTGCTTGACTTCGGTCTGTTCGTTACTATTGGTTGAACACCAAGCGACGCGCTTGTAATGTAGGTGCATGAAGCTGGGGAAACAACCTCGGGTGCAGCGTATCCATTCGGCGCAAGGCAAATTCGCGTGCATGGGGTGAGCATCAGGTGTACTTGTTTTGGCAGAAAACCCCAAAGTTCGAACTACTGGTAACCACTAGTTCGCATTGGATTCGCTCGTCGCGTCAGTCGTAAGAACCCGAACCCGTGCTCCGTAAGATCCACGCCCACACATTCGGAACACCTGCAAGCAAAGCAACCACGCAAGACAAGAGCGGGTCTGCCTCAAAATCCACCTGACTCACAAAAATCCTGGAGTGCTCCCAAGGTTTGGCAAAGATCTGGGTTTCGCGCGTTTCTGGAATTTGCTTCTGGGCTCCATGAGTCTTCTTGAACCGATACAGTATGGTCCATACCATTTTCGCGGTTCCAAACCGAACTACACAGCGAGGCTCGGCAGAAGCACGGGATTTGCTGTGGCGTCGTTGAGCAACCACAGCCAAAATGGCGCAAGGGGAATGCCTGCTGGCTGCTGTGGTGCACCACCCCAGAACATTTTGCACATACTTCCATGTTTCCATATACCAAAGTAGGAACATTTGAGAACATAGGTGGTCATTGAAGTACTGGCTTTTGAGTCATCTTTATTTGACTGTAAGTGCCATGCTGATTATAATGGTACTGGTAGTCACACCATAACGATATTCACTTATGCTCCTTGTCCAACACCACCGAGCAAACCCTTCTCTACATCCCTATTATCCCCACCACCACCCTTCTTCCCTCTTCCACTCTCCCCCTTCACATCCTTCCAAAAAATTAACCCGGGTAATCCAAGAACCCCCTTGTCAGTCTTATTTAGCGACGGTGCCTTGTATGTGAGCTGCAGCAGGAGAGAGTTGGCCATGACACCCAGAGAGCTCACTCCCATGAGGGCCCCACAGAGGGAGGGGGTGAGCATGGTGCCTGTGAAGGGCAGCAGCGCCCCTGCCGCCACTGGGACTCCAATCTGCAGGGGTGAAGGGGCACCGTAATGCCGGAGATGAATGGGTTGAAGGAGAGGGAAAAATGCGCTAGGCGGGCCGGAATGTGTGATTTAGGCCCGTGGTGGGATGTCATCTGTGGCCATTCGAGCTTATGTCGTGCTGCGATAGTAACTGCCAACAGACGGGCGGGCATTCTACTTCACCATGCTTTGCAGTAATACTCAGGCCAGGTCCCTGACTAGTTGTGAGACGTCTCAAAATCGGGTTTTGCAGTAATGTCCAGGCCAGGTTCTGATTAGTTGGTCGGGAGAGGGAAGGTTGGGTGGGGGGAAGTGGTGTGGGTCAGAAGTTGGTGGGGGAATCCTCACCATGTTGTAGAGGAACGCCCAGGCGAGGTTCTGGCGGATCTTGTTGAAGGTGCAGCGGCTGAGGTGAATGGCGTCCACCACTTGAGTCACCCGGTCGCCCATCAGTACCACTGACGCCACGTCACTCGCCGCCCCCACCCCCCCAGCCATGGCTATGCCCACGTCGGCTCGAGCCAATGCAGCTGCGTCGTTCACCCCATCTCCCACCATCGCCACCCGGGTTCCTTTTGCCTGAAGGGCCGAAACGAAGTCTGCCTTGCCCTCTGGTTTCACGCCCGCGTATACCTGGGAGTAGGGGATGGATGAGTGGAGGACGGGGAGAGGGGATGGGAAAGAGGAGAAGAGGATGGGGAAGAGAGCGAGAGGTGGAATACCACCCCAGTTAGAGGCAGCAGCACTCCCCAGCACCTCACCTAGTTCTCAGGGGTACCCAGTTTATGAGCTATCACCAGGGCAGCAAGCCTCGATTTGTGAGGCACCTAAAAAAAAGTTTCCCGGGCCTTCCTGTTGCAACACTCGTATCGACGCAGCCCACCTCACAGCATCTCACCTCGTTCTCAAGAATGCCGACTTTGTATGCTATAGCAAGGGCCACCAGTCTCTTACCCCCCGACAGGATTGCAGTGTGAAGCCCCATGGCCTGTAGCGCCGCTACAGCCGCTAGTGGAGCTGCTACAGTCGCTACATGCAGGAGCGTCAGATGGTTCCCAGCTTCTCACCTCGTTCTCAGGAGTGCCGACTTTGTGTGCGATTGCAAGCGCCGCCGGACTCTTATCCCCCGGACGGACAGCATGGCCATGGCCAGCCCCATGTGGCCTGTAGCGACTTTTGAGTCGACTCAAAAGTTATCCCCCGGACAGCAAGGCCATGGGCAGCCCCATGGCCTGTAGCGCCGCCGCTACAGCCGCTCCTATAGCTGCTAAAGGCGCTTCATGCAGGGGTGCTAAATGGCTCACCTCGTTCTCAGGGATGCCGACTTTATGAGCGATCGCCAGGGCCGCAGGTCTCTTGTCCCCCGACAGCATCGCCGTGTGCAGCCCCATGGCCTGTAGCGCCGCTACAGCCGCCGCCGCCTCGTCGCGGACCTTGTCGACCAATGAGATGGCGCCTGCGAGCCTGCCGTCCACCCCCACATACACGGTGGTCTCGCCTGGCGTGGGGTCGCCTGGCATGGCAGGCCTGAGAGTCGGTGATGCGGGGGATGCCCCTGTATGTAGGGACGAGGGAAGGGAGCGGGGAGCAGGATGAGATGGCACTTGCCAGCCTGCCAGCCCGCCAGTTGAACAGTCCACCACCACGTACGTACACAGTCGTCTCCCCTGGTGTGGGGTCACCTGGCATGGCAGGCATGAGAGTTGGAGCGGAGGGGGATGCACCTGAAGAGACGGAGCAAGTAAGGAGCAGGGACAGGACAGGGGATGGGACCAGGAGGAGGGAGGAGAGGGATGAGATGGCGCCTGCCGGTTGGCCATCCGCCCCCACCTTTACTGAGGTGACTTTTGAGTCGACTCAAAAGTCACCTTTACGGTCGTCTCGCCCGGGGTGGGGTCGCCTGGCACGGCAGGCCTGAGAGTCGGTGATGCGGGGGATGACCCAGAAGAGATGGAGCTGGGGGGAGGGAAAGGGGTTGGCCGGAGAGAGGGGAATGAGATGGCATGGCTGCACACCTTGTTCACAAGTTTGCCTTGAAAGCACACATGCAGTCAGATCTTATCCCACATGCCCGACAATCTCAGATCTCACCTTCCGCAGCGCTGCTCATCAGATCAGCCTCCTCAAGTTCCACCGGCACATCGCAGCCGTTATCTCTCAGCCAATCATATCAGGTGTGTGTGCCCACCACCACATGCAATAAGGCCTCATGTCTCACCCACACAACAACATCTCACCCACCTTCCGCAGCGCTGCTCATTAGATCAGCCCCTTCTTATCTCCACACGCAACAACACATCGCATATGTTCCCCCTCACCGCCAATCAGGTGTGCCCACCACCACATGCAAGGGGGCCTCAGGTCTCGTGTAAAGAGGTTGTTTTTGAGACGTCTCAGTTCTTATTTGTGAGACAAAATAACCTCTTTACACATGCAAGGGGGCCTCCGGTCTCTCACACCCAAAAACATTGCACGCACCTTCTGCAGCGCTGCTCATCAAATCAGCCTCCTCAAGTTCCACAGGCACATCACAGCCGTTATCTCGCAGCCAATCAGGAGTGCCCACCACCACATGCTGCCCGGCCACTACCGCCGCCGCCCCGGCCCCTGGCTGCTGGAAAAACGACCCGTCCTCCACCCGCGCCCGCCTCGCCTCCTTCCCAGCAGCTTCCACTATCGCCGTCGCGAGGGGATGCGTGGAATTCCGCTCAACCGCTGCTGCCAACACCAGCACCTCGTTCCTCCTCTCCTCTTCTTCTCCTTTCCCCCCTCCTCCTCCCTGTCTCCGAACCCCACGCTCATTCTCTTCAGCATCACAACCATCCCCATGCAGGCGCACGCGCGTGACTGTGGGGCGGCCGAGGGTGAGCGTGCCGGTCTTGTCAAAGAGCACGGTATGCACGGCAGTGGAGCGCTCCAACACGTCTCCCCCTCGGATCAACAGCCCTTTTCTTGCTGCTACGGCTGTGCCCACCAGCACTGCTGTTGGGGTGGCAAGACCCAGGGCGCACGGGCAGGCCACAACCTGGAAGGATACGGCGAAGGCGCAGGGGAAAGAGGGGGAGGAGTTGAGGGAAGCGGAGGGAGTGAGGGAGGGGGTGGGGGTGAGCGTGCCGGTCTTGTCAAAGAGCACGGTGTGCACGGCAGTGGAGCGCTCCAACACGTCTCCCCCTCGGATCAACAGCCCTTTTCTTGCTGCCACTGCTGTTCCAACCAACACGGCTGTGGGTGTGGCTAGGCCCAGGGCGCATGGGCAGGCAACAACCTGGCAGGGGAGAGGAAAGGGGCATGGGATGGGAAGGTTTTTTAGGCGCCTCAAAATCCGCGTGAACTGAGACGATTTTTGAGGCGCCTCAAAAACACCGCTGTGGGTGTGGCCAGGCCCAGAGTGCATAGGCAGGCAACAACCTGGTGGGGGAGAGGAAAGGGGCAGGGGATGGGAAGGAGAGGGGGGGAAGTGAAGGGAGAGAGGGCGGTCAAGGCCCACACTGACTCTCACCAGCACGGTCAAGGGGCAACAGAGGAGCTGCTCCTCTCACCAACTCTCCACAGCAGCCTCACTCCACTCACCAGCACGATTTTTGAGGCGCATCAAAAATCGTTTTGAGGCGCCTCAAGAAGGGGCAACAGAGGAGCTGCTCCTCTCACCAACTCTCCACACTTCACTCACCAGCACGTTGCATGCAAGCGGCAGCGCCAGCAGCAGACTGCCTCCAGCCAGGGCCGGCAGCAGCGAGGGCAGCTGGGACGAGCTTGGGGCCTTAGAGATTACCTCTCAGCCAATCCATAGGCTAATTACAAGTGCTCTCTCCTCCTCCACTCACCAGCACATTACAGGCGAGCTGCAGCGCCAGCAGCAGACTGCCTCCAGGGCCGGCAGCAGCAAGGGCAGCCGGGACGAGCTTGGGGCCGAGGGTGCTCCAGAAGGCGAAAGTGGCCGCTGCTACGCCCATCACCCCGTAGCAGAACTTGCCGGATACCTGGTGGGAAGCGGGGTGGTGGGAGGGATCCTTGAGTGAGGGCAGAGTGTTGACAATACAGGCAAGAGCAGGCAGGGCAGGGCAGGGCAGGGCAGGGCAGCCGGGACGAGCTTGGGGGGGCCGAGGGTGGAGCAGAAGGCAAAGATGGCCGCTGCTATGCCCATCACCCCGTAGCAGAGCTTGCCGGATACCTGGTAAAGGGGATAGTGGGGAGGGGAGGTGTAGGTGGGGAAAGGGGGAAGGGTTCGAGGAGCAGGGCATAGCAGCATAGGTTCAGAGGGGGGCTGTAGGTGTGTAGGTGGGGAGGGGGGCCGTTGGGTTCAGGGGCCAGCATCTTGAGTCGTGAGAATCCAGCACTCGGCGAATCCCACCTGCTCCGCCTCCCCGCACCTGATCAGCGAATCGTTGCACGGGAGCCTGGCGGCCCTGAGCCTCCTCCACCATGCGCACTATGTCTGCCAGCACCGCATCCCCGCCCTGCCTGCTCGCCTGCACCACCATTGCCCCGTTGAAATTCACCGTGCCCGCTGTCACCTCGTCCTGGTGGGGGGGTTTCGGAGTGGGGGAAGAAGGGAGGGTATATGACTTGTGGAAGAAGGGAGGGTATATGACTTGTGGAAGACTGACCCCACGGTGAGACTGACCCCACGGTGAGACTGACCCCACGGTGAGACTGACCCCACGGTGAGACTGACCCCACGGTGAGACTGACCCCACGGTGAGACTGACCCCACGGTGAGTCTGACCCCACGGTGAGTCTGACCCCACGGTGAGACTGACCCCACGGTGAGTCTGACCCCACGGTGAGTCTGACCCCACGGTGAGACTGACCCCACGGTGAGACTGACCCCACGGTGAGACTGACCCCACGGTGAGACTGACCCCACGGTGAGTCTGACCCCACGGTGAGACTGACCCCACGGTGAGTCTGACCCCACGGTGAGTCTGACCCCACGGTGAGACTGACCCCACGGTGAGACTGACCCCACGGTGAGACTGACCCCACGGTGAGACTGACCCCACGGTGAGTCTGACCCCACGGTGAGACTGACCCCCCGGTGAGACTGACCCCACGGTGAGACTGACCCCACGGTGAGACTGACCCCCAGTCACATGTGCCATTAATACGACTCATGCCCTCATACCACCACCCACTCACCCCAGCCTGCTTCAGCACCGGCAGCGGCTCCCCCGTGATGCTGCTCTCGTCCACTGTGCTGCGCCCTCCCGCCACTGTGCCGTCCACCGGGATGCGATCCTGATGCATGCAGGTGGGGGGTAGAGGCAATAGGAAGGAACGGTGGGTACAAACAAAGGGGGGTGAGGGGAGAAGGGAGCAGCGGATTCTCTGTCATGCTGCTCTCTCATCCACTGGGCCATCCACAGGAATGCGCCCGCCCGCCCGCCACTGTGCCGTCTGCCAGCCACCAAGCCTGCGAGCCAAAGGTCATCCACTGTGCTGCGCCCGCCCGCCCGCCACTGTGCCGTCCACTGGAATGCGATCCTGATTTGCACGTGAATTGGGGGTCATACGCACGAATCAAGTGCACTGCACTCTGCACATAGAATCGAGCCGAACAACATGGCGAGAGAGAGGCATTCGCACCCCGGGCCGGACAAGCACTCGGTCGGTCGCCCACTTGAATCGCCTCTAACGGCAGGCACCACCTCTGTCGCTGCCTCGCTGAAACTGCTAGCAGGGATTCAGCAAGCATGAAAGCAAGCATGAGGGAACAACAAGGGCGAGAGGTACTTACCCTGGGGCACACAAGAGCTTTATCCCCCACTTGGATCGCCTCTATTGGCGCCACCTCCGTTGCTGCATCGCTGAAACTGCTGCCCCCACGGATTCAAGAGTGCACACATGACAGAGTAACAAGGCAAGGAGAGAGTCAAACATACCCCTGGTCGCACTAGCACTCGGTTGCCCACTTGGATCGCCTCTATGGGCACCACCTCCGTTGCTGTGTCGCTGAGACTGCCAGCGCAAAATCAAATGTGCACACTGCACACATAAAAGAGCAGCAAGGAGAGAGGCATACGCACCCCGGGGCGAACAAGCACTCGGTCGCCCACTTGGATCGCCTCTATGGGCACCACCTCCGTTGCTGTGTCGCTAAAACTGCTGCTTGCCGCGGCTGCTGCAGCTGCTGATTCTGCTGCTGATGATGCGGCTGCCGGGCGTGATGCAGCAGCAGGAGAGGAAGGTGGGGAGGGTGAGGGCGAGGAAGGGACGATGCGACGGGCTTGAGGGGGCAGCAGGGATAGCAGAGCCGCCATGTCACTGGTGGCCTGGAGGAACAGGTAGTATGGGGGAGGGTAGCGAGGGGAGAGAGCGGGGAGAAGGAAGTGAGGGTGGGGAGGGGATGATGCGACGGGCCTGAGGGGGCAGCAGGGATAGGAGCGCTGCCATGTCGCTGGTGGCCTGGAGGAGAGAGTGGTGGGGGTGAGGAGAGTGCGGGGAGAAGAGGGAGAGGAGAGAGTTTACCTAAGAGATCACAGAAGGAGGTAGCAGGGATAGGAGCGCTGGTATATGACTGGTGGCCAGAGGAGGACAAGGATGTGGGAGGAATTGAAGGGAGAGGAGGGGCACAAGGGTTGAAAGCGAAACAAGTGAAACGAGAGAGGAAGCAAAGAGGATGAGGAGCGGAAGCGGGAGGGAGGCAAAAAAAAAAAAAAAAAAAAACGGCACCTAATGAAAATAAAAACTCCATATGTAAGAGCGCGATTTTCCCTGCCTCACCATAATCTTAGCCCGCTCTTCCAGTGCCTTCCCCAGCAGCACGAACGCCAGCAGCACAGCTCCTCTTCACCCGACCGTACCTTGGTTGGTCATACAGTCCCCTCCCATCCTCATTCTCTTCCCCCCTGCCTACCTTGATCTCAGCCCGCTCTTCCAGTGCCTTCCCTAGCAGCATAGCTCCTCCGCACACTGACCTAACTTGATTCGACAATCCCCCCCTCCCCCTTGTTCCGCCCTCATTCTTCCTTCCCACCCCTCCCTGTCTACCTTGATCTTAGCCCGCTCCTCCAGCGCCTTCCCTAGCAGCACGAACGCCAGCAGCATGAGCGGCTCCTCGAAGAACGCAGGCCAGCCCTGAGGGCGAGGGGGAAGGGGAGAGGAGGGGAGAGGATGACTTTTGAGTCGACTTAAAAGTCACGTCGCCAGCAGCATGACAGGCTCCTCGAAGAACGCTGGGAGCCCTGGGGGGAGAGGAAAAGGGAGTGGGGGGAAGGGGGAGGAAGAATGACGTCAAAAGGCAGTGGGGGGATGTAAGGCTCCCGGGCCAGCCATGAGGGGAGTGAACGGGGGAGGCGGGTAGGGACGAAAGAGGGAGCAGGAGGGGAGAAAACAGGAAATGAAGTAGAAGGGTCGAGGGAGATGACTGACAGCAAAGGAAGAGACAGCCCCCAGGCTGACAAGCAAGCAGAGTAACATGAGAGGTCTCTAAATATGCTAGTTGATTGAACTCACCAGCTTTGGCACGGCGGCGGCAACAGCGCTGACAGCAAAGGAAGGGACAGCCTCCAGGCTGACGAGAGTGTTCATGTTGGGCGCTCCCCTCCTTTTGAGTTGACTCAAATGTCAGCTTATACATGCTTATTGAACTCACCAGCTTTGGCACGGCAGCAGCCACAGCGCTGACAGCAAAGGAGGAGACGGCACCAAGGCTGACGAGCGTGTTCATGTTGGGCGCTCCCCGCCTCAGGCTGGTCCATCCGTCCTGCAGCAACCTGAGATAGCATACGGGGCAGGGTAGAGGAGGAGAAAAAGGGGGGGAGGGGAGGGGGTGATCAGGTAGGGTGTGCCAGGAATTGAGGGGAAGCGCGTGTGAGAAGTCAAGGCTGACGAGCGTGTTCATGATGGGCGCCCCTCACCTCAGGCTGGTCCACCCGTTCTGTAGCAGCCTGAGATAACATACGGGACAGGGTAGGGGGAGGGCACGTGAGGAGGAGTAGAGAAAGGATGGGAGGAGAAAGGATGGGAGGAAGAAGAGGGAGACGGGGAGAAAGAGGAGGACAAGGCAGGGGGGATGAGGGCAGGGGAGACAGAAATGCATCCAGCCCCACACGCACTTGTGGCCAGGCCTGAGCAAGGCAGTGAGGGAGAGCAGAGCGTGCACGGGTGTGGAGGGCTGGGCGTGCGTCGAGGCAGGCAGCTTCCAGGCGAGGGCAGGGAGGGTGAAAGGAGCAAAGTGGAAAGATGAGAATTCAGGGCTCCCAGACAGATGCACTCACTTGCGACCGGGGCCAAGAAGGGCAGTGAGGGAGAGCAGAGCGTGCACGGGCGTGGAGTGCAGGGCGTGGGTCCAGGCAGGCAGCTTCCAGGCGAGGGAGGAGGCCTGCAGCATGTGCGAGGCGTGCCCCACCAGACACGCTGCTGCCAGCGCCCATGCCACCAGGAGACGCCGGCCTGGGGAGGGCAGAGTGGAGGGACAAATGAGAGCGAAGACAATGAGGGATGTGATGTGAGGCCACTTGGTTCCAGGCGAGGCGAGGGAGGACGCCTGCAGCATGTGCGACGCATGCCCCACCAGGCAAGCTTCTGCCAGCGCCCATGCCACCAGGAGCCTATGGCCTGGAAGGGAGGGAAGGAGTGGGGGAAAAGGGGACAGGAAGAGGTTCTCGAACGCATGTCAATAAGAGCCAAAACCCCCCCCGGAGATTGAGAGGTAGACAGACAGCACGAAGGAAGAGGAGAGGAGGAGGGAGAAAAACCTGCTCGAATCAGGTAGTCAGCACCTGAGAGGATTTGAGGTTTAGATGCACTTACGAATGAATATCTTGTTAGCAAGGAACACTCACCACTGTCTTTCAGCCTTTTCATGCGCTCCTCCCTCTTGGACTCAATCGCTGAAGCTGCCCGGCCCGAGACACCGGCAGCAGCACCAGTAGCACTAGCACTGGTAGCAGCAGCAGCAGCAGCAGCAGACGGCCCTCCCTCCTCCCCCTCCTCCATTCCTCCCACGGGCACCGCCACATGCCCTTCCTCCGCTGCTGCGCCTCTTGAGCCCTTGGCTGACTCCTCTGAGGGATTGGGATGGGAGAGAGAGAGAGGTGCAAGTGAGTGTTAGGTTCACACACTACCAGACGGACGGCCCATACACATGTGGGGTCCCATCAGGTTTGAGAAGACAGGGAGAGTACGGATGGGGCTTAGGTCCAGCCCAACCGAGGCACTTTGGGATGCACTGACGTGCCTTGTGTGATAAGTCGAGTTTTTGAGTTGACTCAAAACCGGGAGAGTACGGATGGGGCTTAGGTCCAGCCCAACCCAGGCACTTTGGGATGCACTGACGTGCCTTCAATGCACTGACTGGGTGCTTTGGCTAAAACATGACTTTTTTTTAGTTGGTTCAAAAGTCAACTGAAGACAGGGAGAGTACGGACGTGGCTTAACTTAGGTCAAGCCCGGGCACTGACGTGCCTTCACAGCATTGACTCGGTGGTTTTGGCTGAAATAGTGACTTTTGAGTCGACTCAAAAGTCAGCCCGGGCACTTGGGGAAGCACTGATGTGCCTTTCACAGCATTGACTCGGTGGTTTCTGAGGCGCCTCAGAAGTCACAGCAGGTTTGAGAACACAGGGAGCGGTACGGATGGGGCTCAAATCAAACATAGGGAGAGGTCACAGAAAGTCCAGCCCGGGCACTTTGGGATGCACTGACGTGCCTTCAAAGCAATGACTGGGTGCTTTGGCTGAAACATTCAAGGCTGCAAACCCCTGCCACTCTCTCAATGCCCCCAGCCCCACCACTTCCCCCCTCCTCCCTCTGCCCCTCCTGCCCTCCGCCTACACCACTACCCAACACAGCACGCACCTCTGAGCTTTGACTCGAACCCACACTCTGTCAAATACTCCGCCAACGCTCGCTCAACCTCCACCCGTCACTGCTCCTGCCACTCCCTCAACGCCCCCATTCCCCTTTTTCCTACCCCTGCCCCTACACCACTACCCAACACAGCACACACCTCTGAGCTTTGACTCGAACCCACACTCTGTCAAATACTCCGCCAGCGCCCGCCCAACCTCCACCCGCCTCTGCTCCTGCCACCACTCCCTCAACGCCCCACCGTCCCCACCATCAACCCCCCTCTGCTTATATAGAACTACCCAACACAACACGCACCTCTGAGCTTGGACTCGAACCCACACTCTGTCAGATACTCTGCTAGTGCTCGCCCAACCTCCACCCGCCTCTGCTCCTGCCACTCCCGAGACACCCCCATCCCTGCCGCGCCCCCCTCTGCCGCCCCTGCCCCTCCATCCGCCCACCCGTGGCCCCCAGCAGTATCCTCAGCAGCAGGGGCGGCTGGAACGGCTGTGGTTGCGGTGGTGGCTGTAGCGGGGGCTGCGGCTGTAGCAGCAGCGGACGGCGGCTCGCCCCCGGCCAATCGGATGGTCACAAGTGCCGTCTCCATGGGAAGGTTCACGGAAGCAGACACTACAGGAGGCTGGAGGGGGGTTGTCGGGGGTGGTTGGAGAGGATGGGAGGGGAAGGGGAAGGGAGGAGAAATAGGGAGGGGGGAGGGAAGGGGAGGGGAATGGCCAGTCGTTCTTTGAGAATTCTGAGAAATAACCACAGGAGGCTGGTTTGGGAGGGAAGCGGGGAAAAAAAGGGGGGAGGGGATTTTTGGGGGGGCATGGAGTGGGAGAGGGAACGACGAGCAAGTAGGGGGGCATGGAAAGTAGAGGCAGAGGGACGGGGGATCGGGAGAATGGGGGGAAATGGGGTGGGGGACAGGGAATGTAGAGGTAAAAGGGCGAAAAGGAGAGTGCATGGAATGGAATGGAGACAAGCGAGAGAGTGATGCATGCTAAGGGCAGCAAGATCAATGAAGAGATTAGAGCGAGTCCTTCTGCACTTGAGCTGCACGCATACTCTGAGATCCTAATCTCTTTTGCAATTGAGAATCTGCCTCACCTGTGACTCGAGAATCTGCCTCACCTGTGACTCGAGAATGTTCTTCACGGAAGCAGCACAGCTGCCACACGACATGCCCTGGGGAGGGTGGAGGGCAGCGGATGGGATGGGAGGGGAAGAGCATAGCTTGGTGCAAGACGAGAGGAGAATTCGGAGGTGGGAACCTGCAAAGAGAGACAACTGATGGTGAGGCTTGAGGACCGGAACATGCCCCCTCACTTCACCTGCCATAGCCACATGAAAGAAGACTGTTCTTGAGACGTCCCAAAAACACTCTTCTCTCACGTAGCAGAGGGAGACAACTGATGGTGAGGTTTGAGGCTTAGAACATGCCCCTTCACTTAACCTGCCTGCAGCAGACTCGCCTCGACCCGCTACAGACAGACCCGTTACCGTCTCTTCTTTATCACCCCCCTTTATGCCTACGCCCCCCTCTCACCCCCACATCCAGCACAACAGTATCCTGAGTGCTCCCCTCCTAAACTTGACTTTGCTGAACTTGACTTTGCTGAATTCTCAAAAGTTTTTTCAGCAGCTACGCCCCCCACTCACCCCCACATCCAGCACAACAGTATCCTGAGTGCTCCCTTCCTAAACTTGACTTTGCTAAACTTGACGTTGCTGAATTCTCAAAAGTGTTTTCACCAGCTACGCCCCCCACTCACCCCCACATCCAGCGCAACAGTGTCCTGAGCTCCCCCTCGGAAACTCAACTATGGTGGAATCACTCTAGAGAATTGTCAAATGTGGTTTCAGGTATGCCCCCCACTCACCCCCACATCCAGCACAACAGTTTCCTGAGCTCCCCCTCCCAAACTCGACTTTTGAGGCGCCGCAAAAGTCAACCTACATGCCCATGCTCCCCACTCACCCCCACATCCAGCACAACAGTGTCCTGAGCTCCCCCTCCTAAAATCGAATCCGCCGCCACGTGCCCACTCGCCGCTTTTGTCCGCATCTGCCTCTCCCCGCCCCAACTCTCCATCCCCCCCCATCCGTCACCCGCGTTTCCCCCGCGCCCCCATGGTCCGCCTCCGCCTCCCCTCCCCCCGAATCCCCCCACCCCCCATCCCCCGCCTCCGCCGCCGCCGCTTCCGTCGTGAACCAGCGCTTGGGAAATGCTCCCGAAGGGCGGCCGGCCGGCACGGCATTGACACGTGGCAGCGAAGCAACGCGCTGCGGCGGCTCGTGCGGTGCACGCGCACGCCGCTGCGCTGGATGCGGTCAACTTAAGAGAAGAGCCGGCGAAGGTTGCAAATTGGTGACCGAGCGAGAAGGGCGGATTGAGGGGAGACGAAGCGGCTGCATTGATCGCAGCGGGGATAAGGCCTCTCGGATGCGAGAGCCAAGAAACCGCGCTATCCGTGGACGCGGAGTTTTTCGGCGGAAGAAAGCTTGATTGTGAGTGTCTAAGGTAGACTGAACGCGATGGCGTCAATCTCCTGGAAATGGTGTGGGCACGTGTGAAGGATGACGTGGCAGTAACGGGGTTGCGATGGCGGTTCCACCTTCCATTGATTGAACCGCGAGCTGCGGATCGTGGTGATTGGCTGATGGAAAGAAACGGAGTTACCGCTGAGTAACACCGATACGCCTGAGGGAGCACTTGCGGAAACACCTGGCCGTGCATAGCTGCTGCGTTGCCTGCGTTTCCTGGACTCCTCGCAGTTTCTGAGAAGGTCTTTACAGCAGCAGATGGTGAATTCGATGTAACGGAACCCGATACTAAATGCAGGCGCGCATGAGCAGCGTGACGGGAAACAGACAAGTTCATCCCGCGCTTGACGGACCAGCGCTCTGAAGGATCCGCGATATATTGCGGCTACCTCACTCCTCTGGACTCGATTGCAAAAACGATCTCGCCACTAGTATAGACCTCAGAACATGGAGGAACCTCCGAATCCCCCTTGGAGCCTGGTCACACAATTGTCCTAAGAGAAAATGGAGGAAATGACGGCCAATGCAGTTGTGGAGGAAGGACAAAAAGAGGATCCCAAGGTCAGAACCAGAACGTACTGCTGGACCAAGCATAGATTTCCACCAGTAGGGGATTGTGTGCGAGGTGGGAATTGCGGGACATAGAGATTTCTGGAAAGATTCAAATTCATTCTGAGGAGGTACAGAGTGGTGGGTAACAAGTGATTTCAAGGAGGTGGCTGACCAAAACGTACACAGGCGATTGATGTCGTGAAATGAAACTGCTGAGACGTACGAGGAACTTAAAGTTGGAGAGCTTGACAGCTACTTGTGGTACGACATTCAGCGTACGGTTTTCCAAATCCGTGATGTCCAATCAAAGTGGTGTACACGCGTCAATGGATGAGGCAATGTGGCCTTATGGTCACGTGGCATGCGGTCCGATGCTTCGCGAAATGGCCACATCAAGGGATGAGTGGAAACTGCGCGTTCGCGATAATAGCGGTGCTTGATTCACTTTATTCCCGGGGATAATACGGATAGTCCTGATTTCCAAGCTTCAAGAGGGACAAAAATCGGTGTACATAATTGTGCACTGCAAAGCTGCTTGGACCAGTACTCTTAATTCTGCCATAGGTTGCAAATCAGAAAGCAGAAAACCTCTTTGTTTAGTTGGCGTGAAACTTGTGTGAAGAAACATCCAAACAAACTCCCCTGCTTTTCAACCTAAACACACAAAAACATTGAACCATATATCCATTTAGGCCTCCTCGTCCTCCACCACCTTGGGGCCAAGACCCTTGAAGCCCTCAGCAGGGAGATCAGCCACGGTGACAATGGAGTAGAACTCCTCAGTGGCGTCCTCATCCTCGTTGCGCCTCCGAGCAATGCGCACGCGCACACGGCGGGGAACATTGCGCACACCGCGTGACCATACTTGCTTGTTGAGCTTCACATCCACACGCACATCCTTGGTGTTCATGGCCTTCGCAGCAAACTTCCGGATCTCCTTGATGGCCTTGGGAGCCTTTTTCTTGAATGTGCTGAGGGAGAAGGGATATAGGAATAAGAGGGTATGATTTTTTTAACAAAGGGAAGCTTGGTAGAATGATTGGTATGCATTCTCTTCGTCACACACAAAGAGAACAAAATGATGACAAACGCTGCGCAGGCAGCCAGCCATGTCCATTTTTCATACAGGACGGGAGCGAAACAAATATGAGCAGAACGGCAAAAACGAGCACACGGGCATAGGGACGGACTCCAAACCACGCTACAACGCTTAAACTGCGCGCAGTCAATGATGAAACGCAATCTCTAAAACCTCGATGTAAACAACAATGACGACTGCAGGATAGAGCTAGAACGGAAGTACTATGTCCAGCAACTATGACGGCAAGCTGGAGGAGGTCACATCCGCACGCAAAAGGTGCACCTCCCTCTCTCAGACTATCTTCCTGATAACGATGATTCAATCCTGCATAAAGGGTAATTCGCCAAGCCACGGAAGTCGGCGACTTCGTGATCGCACCACAGATTGCTGTTTCACTATGCTCCTGTGCGGTTAGGCTTGCTTCATCTACGTCGTTTTGGCGTTCATCTGTGCGCCTCTTAAGCAAAGGATACGGAACCTAGGGCGCACAAATGGTCCTCGAAGGTTTTAGAGTAGCGATCTAAAACGGAACCCTAACCACGTAGATTGTAGCGCATGAATCTGAACTATCTCAACGATGCCTAACGAGCAGCAGCAAAAGGGAACCCTAACCATTCTAGCCGACCCTCCTGCCTTCTCGCGCAAGAGAACGTGCACTGCTACAGCTGCAACTGCACCAGAGTATAATAGGATAAGAGAAACGAAATGGCGTCCAGAAGCAGCCGATGAGCTGGTTGACTGAGCGAAGTGCAAGCAGATAGACAAAATCGCACCAGCCATGGCAGCGCTTGTGGAGGTTGATGGTGTACTCGCGAGTGACGATCTCGTCCTTGCGCACCTTCTTCTCAACCATCTTTGCGTATCTGATGGGTCGACAAGGGAAACCTAATTGGCGAGCCTAAGGAGGTTCGCTGAGCTGCTGCGGCTGCTGCAGAGCTGTTAGGGCAGAAAGGGAGAATCATGTGAAACAGAGGGGATTTGTGAGTGGGTAGGGGACAGGGGAGAGCGAGAGGGGCGAGCGAGAAAGGCTTCGGAGGGAAGGGGGTTTGATGCATCTATCCAACGGTTGGGATCGTCTGGGGCCATCCATTTGTACCAATTGTGCACTGTAACATTTTGCCTACGACTTAGACTTCTTCCGATACTGTATGTATATCGGACCGGCCTGTAATGGATTGATGTTCTGACTCTCCGGAACTTTTGTCCACCTCTGATTCTTATGAGTTAGTTTGGACGCCCCCGATATCGACACAGCTTGTATCGAACTATTCGAGACGAACCATCCAGCGAAATGACTTTCCTAGCACTGCCACATCAGCAGTGCAGGTGACTCGGACACGGCCTGTGTGGAGCGACCACGCGGACGTCCGTGAGCCAACCGCGTCTTTCCTCCCCCACCACAGACATCACCATCTCGTCACCCACTTGACTGACCGTCAGCCAAACAATTCGTGAACCGTCAAATTCCGCTCCATCCCATGTTCTCCAATCCATAACCTTGATAATACCTGCCTCGTTCCTTGGTTCCTTCCTTACCGAGTACCAAGTTCCACTTGCTTCCTCGAGACATTAGCAGGCCTTCGAGGTGTTCACGCCAGCACGTACGTAGCCCTTCGAAAGGCGTTGTGAATATTACGTGTAAAATGGCTGCCTTGGCTACGTGCACCTCGTGCTCGCTCTCGAGCCTCTCCGTCGCTGCTGGAACTGCCAGCCTCAGAAGACTTCAACGACCAGCAGCCGTTCCTGTGCTGCCAGCTCGGCGATCAGTGACCGTGCGAGCAGCAAAGCTCCCCGCTGGGGTGAGTGCGCATTCTACTGCTACTTAATACTAGTTCCGTTGTGTAGGCAGAGCGAACAATACCTGTAGGTTTGTTGCGTCTCTCCATTGGAGTGACTCGTGCGAATTCTCAAAACTCTCTTCATCGTAGCCGGGACCTGACGACTCGTGTGCGCTGTTGAATCAACCTGGCAAACCGGCCATCGGCCAAAACTTGCAGTGACAGTCGTCACACGTTAGCTCGAGTTTATCGTAGAAAAGAACGTCGACGGAAAATACCTCCATCACAGTCAGTCGGTCCATGGCATTTCATTTGTCATAGCGTGTATTTCAGTTCACCCTCTGACAATCCTTTATTCATCGTCTTCCTCCCCTAGTCGTTTGGCTCAATGACTTATCCTTAATGTCGCTACACAAGTTAGAGATCGTGAAATTTACCGTCTTATCACACCTCATCCCCGTTCTTGCAGGTCCCGTCACCTAAAGTGGAGCCCAACATTCCAAAGCCGTTCTGGGGTTTCACCGAGAACGCGGAGTCGTGGAACTCGCGAGCCGCCATGATCGGGCTGTTCGGGGTCATTATCTTGGAAGCGGTGAGTCGCATGTTCTATCATATGCTGCATGACATTCCTCCCAACACGCAAGCCTGATATCATGAGGTGCTCTCTATTCACCCATGATAAGGCGGTTCACAGAGCTATTGAGAGGTTTCAGTAAGCTCGGATGCGCTGGTTGTCCGATTTTCTGATGTCATTGATCTGTCAGAACGATGGCTGGCCGGCACTGGCAGAGGAGTGCGCTGATAAAGCACCAGAGCGAGAAGATCACACACGTTGGAGTCAGGGGACTGCGTGCATCAAGGATAATAGCATGAAGTGCTCCTAAATTGGTCCCATTTAGTTGTGGCATGCCCTTCACTATTCTGGGCAACATACCTTCCTTCTGTTTTGGTGTTTTTCCTAACTGCATTCTCGTCCTGCCTGTTGCTGCTGCAGGTTGCTGGCAGAGGAATTCTTGAGTTGATTGGTGTGGAAATCGGCAACGGGTTGGACCTTCCTTTCTAGGGAATTTTGTAGACAAATAAAACCCTTCTAATGTTCTCCTACAGTTTGTTGTTGAATGCAGTTGCGACTCGCACTTCCTAATGTGCACATAGCTGGAGAAGCTTTAAAGTTGCTACGTCATGCAAACTTACAACCCTGCTACGGTAGAGCTCTAGCTGTGAAAAGGAATTCCCAATGCCAAAAGAACCAAAGCATTAGTGCCGCTGCAAGTTCTAACAAAAACCGTGTGTAGTAACACTGTGTCCCATTCTATTCCTTGTATGTCCTATTGTGCGTGTCACACCCATCTCATGAATGTGTGCATCACAGTAACATACCATAAAAATTCTGCAACAAAACCAGAGCACTTAAAAAACATTACCATCTGCAGGATCAAACAAAAAAACATGTAAAATTTCTCAAATTTAACTTCTAAAAATTTGAAGATCGTGATTTAACTAGAAGAGGAGTTTGGTGTAAAGGAGACCTATTAAGACTACTCTGCACACTCCTAGGAGCGTCGTGTCACAATTGCAGCCTATGTGACACATGCAGCCTATGAGTGCAATGCAAAGCTACCGATAGTGCATCTACCGTATTCAAAGAGGCTGAAGTCTGAGAATGCAGTGCAGCGCATGTAGTCGAAAAGACTAAAGCCAACACTGCAATGAAGAGCATCTACTCAATCAGGCTGAAGCCAGTGTCATCGTTGTTGGAAACAATAAGTCTTAAGTGCGCTTCTGTCGTGTCAAAATCCAAGGCACCAAGCGAAGCAGTCCCAATCGAAGCATCGAGTCAACCTCGGAGGTTAGGGTAACCGCCTGGAGGTTACGAGAAAGTCAAAGGTCAGCGACCTTTGACTCGACAATTACAGCGCGACAGTTAAGGACACACAACTAATTCGTTACAGAGCAGTTGCCCGAGTCGCACTATATCGAACCGCAACAGCAATACAGTTATATGTCTATTCGTATTCCCTGTACTCTTATATAAAATCCTTGTATTTGTTTGTTTAATTCAATCTACTTTTGCTCTCACACACCAGTGCAAGGTCAGTTCACAATCTTCATTAAAACGTTTCCGCTATTACAAGTTTCTACCCAAGAGTCATCCTCTGCAAAGATCCTAAGGGCTTTCTCAGCCCAACATGGTATGAGAGCAGACAGGAGAAAACTCTAAACTTCTTTTCAAAATCATTTTCAAGACATGGCAACAAACAAGGAAAGGAGCTCTCCTAATGGCTCCTCGGGCACTACTCCCACTCCACCACCAGCCTCTGGCCTGCAGACAGAGGAAGGCACGGCAGCAAGACCAAGGGGAACGTCAACTGAGACGCCCACGAACCACCCTTAAGACTTTGACCAGAACATGATGGAGAAATTCTTCTCCTTCATGTCCTTCTACGAGCAACACCAACAGTCGGGACCTGCACAGACACACAACAGCAACAACGGAGCAGCACCCATGAGCCTTGACGGGTCGTCATACGCGCGAGGGAATCAACAGCAGCAACCCACCTTCGCCCCGTACGAACGCGGATCGATCAGCTTCCTGCCTCAACCTCCACCTGCGCAAGACAAACCAATGGATGCTTTACAAGTTCAGTCGCAGTTCGCACATGTCCTGAAACTACAGACATCAAGACATTTCGACGGAAAGGACTTCTTTACCTGGTCCTTTGAATTCGAGTTGATGATGGAGGGCGCGCAGATACTCGGCTTCTTCGACGAATCCCTGCAGTATCCAGCAAACGGGACACAGTATGAGAAGCAGCAGTATACGTATCAATCCATGATGGCGTATACTATTCTACTGAGAAACATCACACCAACCCAGCAGCAGAACATTCGCTCTTACCGGAACTTCGGCAACTCGGCGGAACTCGCGTACGGCCATCTGAAGAACCTGTACCAGGCAACAGACAGTGCAAACCAGAGCAGGTTAATGGCACAGTTGACAACAGTTGAAATGAAACCAGGAGAAAAAGGGCTGGCGTATATCAGCCGATGTCGCGAGCTGCGCGACAAGCTTCTTCGATGCGGAGGGTCAATCTCTGAAGACGCCTTCGTAACAGTCGTCATCGGTGGCCTCGGTCCTCAGTGGCGCGCCACCAAAGCAATTCTTCGAGCACACGGGAGGATCTCCGAAGCGGCACTCTGCGCCGAAATTCACGCCGAGCAGCAGGATATGGACCTGCAAGAAGAAAGACACAAGAAAAGAGTATTAGCACCGGAGTTTGCCTTCCATACTCAGCGACGACACAACAACTACAACAATCGACAGCAGCAGCCGAAGCCAGTACCTCCGTTTTGTCACATCTGCAAGACATCAGGACACCCACGCACGCACTGCCCGTCTCGTCAGACAACACCACAGCGACAACTGCAGCCTTCAAGCACCCAAGTTGCTTCGACACAAGCAAGCTCGACAACCACGATTCAAGCTTCAACAACCTCAACTGGACAACCTGCACAAGGAGCAAGAAATATAGTCAACTCCATGGTCAAAATAAACGACTCTTGCATAACAGAGTCACCACCCCATTACTCACCGGAAGAGGAGCTCGACAACAGGACGCCTCGCCGCGAATCACTCCACCCAAATCCGACTTACGCCGCCATCGCTCAAAGTGAACCGTCCGGCCAAGACACCTGGTTCTTGGACAGTTGCTGCGGGCAACACATGTGCTCGTCCGGGCGTTTCGTACAACGCGAACATCGACTCCAACGAGAAGTGATCATCACAGTTGCCAACAATCAAAACCTGCGCACACGAAGACAAGGAGTGGTACAGCTTCAGTCAAGAGAAACAAACGTCATACTGCACATGTCTAAGGTACTCATCGCTGAAGGACTCGGCTATAACTTACTGAGTGTTAGCCAGTTGATGGCGAAAGGAATTCATCTGGAAGCCGACAGCACGACCCAGGAGTTCAAGCTTTACCACGGGAGAGGCGGTCTCTATATCGGGAAGGCAGTGCTGAAGAACAACGTCTTCGTCCTCGACTTCGTTCCCGACCTCGGCACTGCAGACAGCGACGCCATTGTGAACTTTGCTGATTGGACACCGACCCCGACTTCAGCCCGGGAGGATTCTGGTACTCCCACACTATCCCTAAAGCAGAACGAACAAGAGCGTTAGCAACGATTCAACAAGAAGCAGAGGCGACAACATCGGCAGCAGCAACAACATCGGCAACAGCAACAACATCGGCAACAGCAACAACATCAGCAGCAGCAGGAACAACGACACCAGTCACAGTCGACGAAGCACCACCAACACCCGCGCAACAGCTGAATCCGACTCAACGTGAAGTCCACCGAAGCGCCAACCTCGTCGCCAGCTTTTACTCCAACTCCGACGCATATCAGCGTTCACCCGGACACCGCGCCTCTGAAGAGATCTGGCACGCACGTACAGGACATCCAAGCAACACGGTTTTGAATAACACGATAAGAGCAGGAGTCCTTGACAAAGACTCTCTACTTCTACCCGATGGCAGAGAACTCCAGAAGGCACGAAGGACTTGCCTTATATGTCCTGAAGCTGACTTACCTCATCGACCGTTTGCTCCACATCACAACCCGAGCGCTCCAGCATACGCACCACTCGAAAAGGCCTACAGCGACATACTCTACAATCGTGAACCAGGACAAGTAAACTATAACTACACCATCACCTTCATCGACGCCGCCACTCGATACGTCTGGCATCGTAACCTACCCAGCCGCGACATGGCGCTCGCAGCATTCGCCGCCTGGCTACCGATAGCAGAGAGAGAGTCTGGAACACAACTGAAAAGTTTTCAGTCAGACGGAGGTGGGGAGTACACCTCTCAGCGCTTCAAGCAGTTCCTGGCGGAAAGGGGAATCAAGCAACTCCTCTCCCTTCCCTACGCACATCAGCAGCAAGGTGTTGCAGAACGAATGAACAGGACCCTACAGAACAGCATGCGCAAACTGTTACGTGGCATGCGGCTACCCAACCACCAGTGGCCAGCAGCAACGGACCACGCTGTCCTGCTGCACAACTTGTTGTCGTCGTCGTCACTCCCTAACAACGCATCACCGCATCTGCTGTGGACAGGGAACCAGGGCAGCACAAAAATGTTACGAGTTCTCGGGTGCATGGTACAGTACAGGCCCCCAGAAGCACGAGCGGGAAGATTTTCGCAACGGGCACAGTGGGGACTACACCTCGGCATCGAGAAAAATTACAACGCATGGAGAATCTTCGACGTCCACACAAAGGAAACAGTAGCAGCACGTGACGTGATCTTCTACGAAAGACTCACCCTTCAGACGTACCTCGCCAACTTGCACGAGAATCGGGACCTCACCAGTGGTTTTCGTGGCGACCGAGCCTTCGCGTCAGCAGCGGACGAAGCAGACTGGGATGAACAGATCGTCGACAACGCCTCGGAGGAAGCCGGACCTCTCCCATACTGCTCCGTCGACGTGCCCATGGATGAGGATAATCCTCGCGACAGTAACAACACCGAAGTCTTCTACCGTTTCGCCGACGATGGTTACGTAACACCTGCGACAGTCAACACCAACGAAGCAGAAAGGGTAGGGCCAAATTTCATGCCCGACCCAGAAACGGGAGACGAAGCAGCTTATCCCGAGGATCCAGAACTCCCTCGATACTCACAGACTGGACTGCAAATCCTTGGTCTCGTCACCGCAGTCCATGGCGCCGGCATTCCTCAGGAGCCTGCGACGGTTCAACAGGCTCTGGGGGGGGAACACAGGGAGAAATGGCGTGAAGCCATGGACAAAGAGCTGAAGGCACTGGAGGAGCGCAACACCTGGAAAATTGTTCCCATCGGCGTAGCTCAAAACAAAACTATTCTTACCGGGAAATGGGTCTTCCGTGTGAAGACGAAAGCTGATGGCACCATCGACAAATTCAAAGCCCGCTGGGTCGTACGTGGCTTCGACCAAGAGCACGGAAGAGATTACACCGAAACCTTCGCTACGGTCAGTCGTCACACATCACTCCGAATTCTCATCGCCGTC